ACAATCAAGAAGGAAAGAAGGAAAACAATTACCTCACGAGACCATTCATGCACCTTCGCATGCATAACGGAGAGGAGAGGGTGCATTTTTAGAAGCTCCTCCAACTCTGGGCACGCCTGCACAACTTTCTGCAAATTTGGCCAGTATTTGCATGCAACATCGCAGCGGAAAAAGCCCACCGTGCCAGCAGAAGACAGCTCCTTCTGCAAGTACATTGCATAGGCATATATCTCGCCTCTGTACATGTTGAGGGCCCTCCTCATCTACTTTGGCAGATCATTTTCCTGACGTCTCTTTGGCCGCTGTCCACTCTGACGTGCCACACATTCATTTGCCTGGCTTCTACAACATGAAAATCACAGTGAAGTGCAGAGATTAACTTAAAAGAAACAAGTTCTAAACTGGGTGACATTAAGCTATGTTATAGAAACTGTGAGAATAATTACATGATTGGTCTTTGTATGGACATGTTTGACAAAGGATGACACATCATCGTCTTTCGCCAGGAAGACACCATCATAGAAGCCCTTCTCAATACTAAATAGAGAGTCAGACTGCAAGATTACATCACAAAATTATACATAAAACCAAACCGCCAAGGTGTGGCAAGTATCCTAGAGAGTTGGGTTCCTGGTTCAAATCCCAGACATCTGACCGTGTTGCTCCAACCGCTCTGTGTGTGTGTCTGTGTGTCTCGGAGGGATTTGGATAAAGCAAAAAGAAAAAAATCACTGTCCCACAATGTTTCTTCATGGAAAATGACCTACTAGTGGACAATTCATCTTCTTCTAAAAAGAAGACCAACTGCAATATAACATCACAAACATATAATTCATAACAAAAAGAAGACCAGCATGCACTTTAAGAATGCATAATTATATCCTGAACAAAATATCAACACATAAGTAAGTAGTACACTAATTTATCCCAAGTAGGGAAAGGATGGCGGGGTTGAAAAGTAATAAAGGGGAGTATATATATAAAAAACATGGGGGATTGGAAGTGATGCAGACAATTACATTGATGGAAGTTACAATCTATCTGCAATATTAAGCTGATCTACCCCCAAAGAAAAGAAAAAAAGAAAAAAGTACAAACCATGAGGCTTTCCGGAGCGGTATTGCTTGTGATTCCCATCCACTGATATAGCATGCATCTCCTGTGAGCAGGCAGGACAATGGAGCAGATCGCTTCCACAAAGCTTGTCTATTTCAAACCGCACATACTGTCACGATCGTCGGGAACAGAGGACCAAGGCGCAGCGTTGAAGGCAAACATACTTTATTATCAATAGTGATAACACGAACAAAACAACACGTGCAGTCCTACGGTACAAACCAAAAGGAACAAGATCCCACAACCACTGTGGGAAAACAGCCTGTCTAAAAGGCAAAGAGTCAATACAGGTCTAAGATTGAATCATACTACACTGGCTCTGACGCTCGTCGGATGTGGCAGGGCTTGAAAACTATTACAGACTACAAAGGGAAGCACAGCCGCGAGCTGCCCAGTGACACAAGCCTACCAGACGAGCTAAACCACTTCTATGCTCGCTTCGAGGCAAGCAACACTGAAGCATGCATGAGAGCACCAGCTGTTCCGGACGACTATGTGATCACGCTCTCCGTAGCCGATGTGAGTAAGACTTTTAAGCAGGTCAACATTCACAAGGCCGCAGGGCCAGACGGATTACCAGGACGTGTACTCCGAGCATGTGCTGACCAACTGGCAAGTGTCTTCACTGACATTTTCAACATGTCCCTGACTGAGTCTGTAATACCAACATGTTTCAAGCAGACCACCATAGTCCCCGTGCCCAAGAACTCTAAGATAACCTGCCTAAATGACTACCGACCCGTGGCACTGACGTCTGTAGCCATGAAGTGCTTTGAAAGACTGGTCATGGCTCACATCAACAGCATAATCCCAGAAACCCTAGACCCACTCCAATTTGCATACCGCCCCAACAGATCCACAGATGATGCAATCTCTATCGCACTCCACACTGCCCTTTCCCACCTGGACAAGAGGAACACCTACGTGAGAATGCTATTCATTGACTACAGCTCAGCATTCAACACCATAGTGCCCTCAAAGCTCATCACTAAGCTAAGGATCCTGGGACTAAACACCTCCCTCTGCAACTGGATCCTGGACTTCCTGACGGGCCGCCCCCAGGTGGTAAGGGTAGGTAACAACACATCTGCCACACTGATCCTCAACACGGGGGCCCCTCAGGGGTGCGTGCTCAGTCCCCTCCTGTACTCTCTGTTCACCCATGACTGCATGGCCAGGCACGACTCCAACACCATCATTAAGTTTGCCGACGACACAACAGTGGTAGGCCTGATCACCGACAACGATGAGACAGCCTATAGGGAGGAGGTCAGAGATCTGGCCGTGTGGTGCCAGGACAACAACCTCTCCCTCAACGTGACCAAGACAAAGGAGATGATTGTGGACTACAGGAAAAAAAAGAGGACTGAGCACGCCCCCATTCTCATCAACGGGGCTGTAGTGGAACAGGTTGAGAGCTTCAAGTTCCTTGGTGTCCACATCACCAACGAACTATCATGGTCCAAACACACCAAGACAGTCGTGAAGAGGGCACGACAAAGCCTATTCCCCCTCAGGAGACTAAAAAGATTTGGCATGGGTCCTCAGATCCTCAAAAAATTCTACAGCTGCACCATCGAGAGCATCCTGACTGGTTGCATCACCGCCTGGTATGGCAACTGCTTGGCCTCTGACCGCAAGGCACTACAGAGGGTAGTGCGTACGGCCCAGTACATCACAGGGGCAAAGCTCCCTGCCATCCAGGACCTCTATACCAGGCGGTGTCAGAGGAAGGCCCTCAAAATTGTCAAAGACTCCAGTCACCCTAGTCATAGACTGTTCTCTCTGCTACCGCACGGCAAGCGGTACCGGAGTGCCAAGTCTAGGTCCAAAAGACTTCTCAACAGCTTCTACCCCCAAGCCATAAGACTCCTGAACAGCTAATCATGGCTACCCGGACTATTTGCACTGCCCCCCCACCCCATACTTTTTACGCTGCTGCTACTCTGTTAAGTATTTATGCATAGTCACTTTAACTCTACCCACATGTACATATTACCTCAACTACCTCAACTAGCCGGTGCCCCCGCACATTGACTATGCAACGGTACCCCCCTGTATATATAGCCTCCCTACTGTCACTTTATTCTATTGTATATATAGCCTCCCTACTGTCACTTTATTTTTACTTCTGCTCTTTTTTTCTCAACACTTTTTTGTTGTTGTTTTATTCTTACTTTTTTGTTTAAAATAAATGCACTGTTGGTTAAGGGCTGTAAGTAAGCATTTCACTGTAATGTCTGCACCTGTTGTATTCGGCGCATGTGACCAATAAAATTTGATTTGATTTGATTTGATTTAAATGTGGTTCCCAATCAGAGACAACCAGCAACAGCTGACACTCGTTGCCTCTGATTGAGAACCACTCTGGCCAACATAGAAATTCAACAACCAGAAACACGGAAACTCACACCCTGGCTCAACATACAAATGTCCCCAGAGCCAGGGCGTGACAGTACCCCCACCCCCTAAAGGCGCGGACTCCGACCGCGCCAACTAAATACCACAGGGGAGGGACCGGGTGGGCACTCCGCCTTGGCGGCGGATCCGGCTCCGGGCCTGATCCCCACTCCCTCTCCAACCCCCCAAAGTACCCCTGGTCCGGTCTGGCCCCGCTGGCCGGAGCTGGACTGCACACTGGTGGAGCGGATTGCTCTAGCTCCGGCGTGAAGCAGCTGACCGGTGCCGGACCAGGCACCGGTGGAACAGGCACGGGCCGTGCCGGACTGACGACGCACACCACTGGCTTGGTGTGGGGAGCAGGAGCGGGCCGGACCGGGCTGGCGACGCGCACCATTGGCTTGGTGCGGGGAGCAGGAGCGGGCCGGACCGGGCTGGCAACGCGCACCATTGGCTTGGTGCGGGGAGCAGGAGCGGGCCGGACCGGGCTGGCAACGCGCACCATAGGCTTGGTGCGGGGAGCAGGAACAGGACGGCCGGGCTGGCGACGCGCACCATTGGCTTGGTGCGGGGAGCAGGAACAGACCGGACCGTACTGGGGACACACACCACTGGCCCTACGCAGGGATCTGGAACGGGCCGGACCGGACTGGTAACACACCCCAGTACCTCTCGCCGTGCCTCTACACCTTCCTTCCCCTCTTTGACCAGTGGCCCCCGTAACCTGGCGGCCTCCTCTGCCAACCCGCTGGGCCGCTCTATCGCGGTCTCCTGCTGCCCCGTCGTCCACAGCGTTAGCCCCCCTCTAAAAAATGTCTGGGCTTCTCTCCTACCCGTGGACCAGGTCTCCATACTTTTCGCCAGCCTTTCGCCCTTCTGCTTCCACGTCAAGCCCCTCTCTTGCTCACCCGGCTTGACCCAGTCGAGGAGGTGCTGGATATCCGCTAGAGATTTCCCTGGTGATGGCGCCTGGACCCGCTGCTTGGTCCAGTTCTGGTGGGATCTTCTGTCACGATCGTCGAAAGAGGAGGACCAAGGCGCAGCGTTGAAGGCAAACATACTACTTTATTAGTGATTACACGAACCAAAACAACAGACGATAACATGACGTCCACGGTCTAACACAAACCACACTGGAACAAGATCCCACAACCACTGTGGGAAAACAGCCTGTCTAAATGTGGTTCCCAATCAGAGACAACCAGCAACAGCTGACACTCGTTGCCTCTGATTGAGAACCACTCTGGCCAACATAGAAATGCAACAACTAGAATACCCAAAGGAAACTCACACCCTGGCTCAACATACAAGTGTCCCCAGAGCCAGGGCGTGACACATACATCCACTTGAGGAATGCCTTCTGGAATGTGTCGCCACATATCTTTCCACTGTAATAACATGCAAAACATACAGAGGTACATTTTTAGGGACAATTTTTATATTAGGGACAAATATTAACCACTAATTATATACACACTTACCCTGCCAAAGTGCTTTGTTCTTCCGTCAAGCATTCCCACAAAGGCTTGACGGGAGCATCCTGGGGCCAACACCTTCATGTCTTCAACGGACTTGAAGAGGTCCACTGTGAAGATGGTCTGGTGAGTCACGGTGGATGGCCAGTAGCCACTCTTTATAAGTTCATCCAGCCCCACTGTCCAATGTCTCAGACACCCGGTGCAGTTCAGAGCAGGAAGGGACAGGTTGTAGCGCCCTGAGTCAGAAGTAATTAATTACATTCTTTAAAAACATGTGAATAGCAGTCCTTAAAAACCACACTTATCATTTATTCCAATCAGGATGACTTGCTTGCCACTAGTCACTGTCAGGGCACTGTGGGCGCAACCACACAGCTGTGGCACAGCCATGGGCAAAAGACAAACTAGAAACCAAAATGTGACACCAAAGAATCACAAATAAATTGTTGAATATATTTGGACTGTAAATACTGATGCATTGAAAATTGTGCAGCATGACTAAAAAGTTGGTATTGCAGGAGGTGCTATCAGATTTAATTTGAAACACCAAAACAATAAACACACACCTTGCTCCTGGAAGGTAAGGGACCCCTCATCATCTTGATGAATTACGGTGGTTGGGGACAAGGGGCGATAAAGCCCTTAAAACAGAGACTCCCTGTTGTGCAAACCTTGGTGCTATGGGTGGCTATGTCACATGCGGCACAGAGAAGATGCCTGGGCAGGCAATCTCTGCACCGCACAACAGCATCCTCACTGTCGCAATACTGACACTGGCCCAACACAGTACCTTCAGCAGAGAGCATGCTTTCCACCATTGCCTCTCTCTTTTCCCACCACTTTTGTGCACACAAGGCCTGCCTCTCTGCCCAAGTCACCTTTGGGGTTACATGACAATCTGGCCCCATGAAACTCCCCATCAGCTCCTGTAGGTCCTGCATCAGGGAGTCTTGTGGAGATAAAAATAAAATAAACATGACAAATCTCATGAAAAGAATAGCTAGGCTGTTTTAAAAAATGTTAAGGTTGGCATGGCATTTGTTTGGCATTCTAGCATACTGTACCTGTATCTTGTGGGGATAGGTGCAGGAGCATGGGTACTGCAGGAGGATGGGTCCTGGTATTGGAAACTATTAAATAAAAATGGTGTTATATTTCTTCATCAATGCAACTTAAGTATAACTGTGTGTATTGGGTGAAGAGATGAGAATCCACTTTTGCAGATACAGTGGGGAAAAAAAGTATTTAGTCAGCCACCAATTGTGCAAGTTCTCCCACTTAAAAATATGAGAGAGGCCTGTAATTTTCATCATAGGTACACGTCAACTATGACAGACAAAATTAGAAGAAAAAAAATCCAGAAAATCACATTGTAGGATTTTTTATGAATTTATTTGCAAATTATGGTTGAAAATAAGTATTTGGTCAATAACAAAAGTTTCTCAATACTTTGTTATATACCCTTTGTTGGCAATGACACAGGTCAAACGTTTTCTGTAAGTCTTCACAAGGTTTTCACACACTGTTGCTGGTATTTTGGCCCATTCCTCCATGCAGATCTCCTCTAGAGCAGTGATGTTTTGGGGCTGTCGCTGGGCAACACAGACTTTCAACTCCCTCCAAAGATTTTCTATGGGGTTGAGATCTGGAGACTGGCTAGGCCACTCCAGGACCTTGATATGCTTCTTACGAAGCCACTCCTTCGTTGCCCGGGCGGTGTGTTTGGGATCATTGTCATGCTGAAAGACCCCGCCACGTTTCATCTTCAATGCCCTTGCTGATGGAAGGAGGTTTTCACTCAAAATCTCACGATACATGGCCCCATTCATTCTTTCCTTTACACGGATCAGTCGTCCTGGTCCCTTTGCAGAAAAACAGCCCCAAAGCATGATGTTTCCACCCCCATGCTTCACAGTAGGTATGGTGTTCTTTGGATGCAACTCAGCATTCTTTGTCCTCCAAACACGACGAGTTGAGTTTTTACCAAAAAGTTATATTTTGGTTTCATCTGACCATATGACATTCTCCCAATCCTCTTCTGGATCATCCAAATGCACTCTAGCAAACTTCAGACGGGCCTGGACATGTACTGGCTTAAGCAGGGGGACACGTCTTGCAATGCAGGATTTGAGTCCCTGGCGGCGTAGTGTGTTACTGATGGTAGGCTTTGTTACTTTGGTCCCAGCTCTCTGCAGGTCATTCACTAGGTCCCCCCGTGTGGTTCTGGGATTTTTGCTCACCGTTCTTGTGATCATTTTGACCCCACGGGGTGAGATCTTGCGTGGAGCCCCAGATCGAGGGAGATTATCAGTGGTCTTGTATGTCTTCCATTTCCTAATAATTGCTCCCACAGTTGATTTCTTCAAACCAAGCTGCTTACCTATTGCAGATTCAGTCTTCCCAGCCTGGTGCAGGTCTACAATTTTGTTTCTGGTGTCCTTTTTTTTTTTTTTTTTTTTTTAGTCATTTAGCAGACGCTCTTATCCAGAGCGACTTACAGGAGCAATTAGGGTTAAGTGCCTTGCTCAAGGGCACATCGACAGATTTTTCACCTAGTTGGCTCAGGGATTAGAACCAGCGACCTTTCGGTTACTGGCACAACGCTCTTACCCACTAAGCTACCTGCCGCCTTTGACAGCTCTTTGGTCTTGGCCATAGTGGAGTTTGGAGTGTGACTGTTTGAGGTTGTGGACAGGTGTCTTTTATACTGATAACAAGTTCAAACAGGTGCCATTAATACAGGTATCGAGTGGAGGACAGAGGAGCCTCTTAAAGAAAAAGTTACAGGTCTGTGAGAGCCAGAAATCTTGCTTGTTTGTAGGTGACCAAATACTTATTTTCCACCATAATTTGCAAATAAATTCATAAAAAATACTACAATGTGATTTTCTGGATTTTTTTTCCTCAATTTGTCTGTCATAGTTGACGTGTACCTATGATGAAAATTACAGGCCTCTCTCATCTTTTTAAGTGGGAGAACTTGCACAATTGGTGGCTGACTAAATACTTTTTTTCCCCACTGTATGTCATAAAATTATTATATACTGTACGTCATTATATTACATTTACATGTCAATAAATGACATGTGCATAACTATGTGGCTTTAATGTACATTAGCAGTGGTTCTTCTTATTTTGAGAGTAATATAACATTTTGAATCTATTTTCAATACATGCAACCCAAGAGTTCATGCCTGCAAGACAGAGGCTTAGGTTACAGTCAATCGGTCTGAGGATTTGAACGCTTTATAGGACTACATTGTATTTAATCCCACATTGAAATGAAAGCCAGTGAGCCAGCTAAAATTGGTCAGTATATTGCAAATACATTTAGTACTAGTTAGAAATGTCCTAATAAGGTAGTCATGCTGCCTGACAAGTTGAATGACGCTAGCCTTGATGAGGCCCTTACTCTCTTAGGGTTGTTGTGTGTAGCGTGATTTCCTTAGTGTCAAGCGACCTGGCTTCAAGCCTACCTCAGGTCAATACCCCCTCCTACCATTTGCTACTCTGATGAGCAGAAGTAGAATAGTGTATGAGGGTCAAAAGCATGTCCTGTTAAGGCGTGAGGAATTTGTGATAGAGAAGCACAGGTTGTGTTTTCTGAACCGAGGGAGTAGTGTAACGATCCTAGCCTTGATAAGTCTATTAAGAAATCCCCCAAGGGAGATCTCACTCTTGGCATCTCCCTTGGGGTTCCGTTAGGTCAGAGTTTCCCAAACCTTTCCTTGGCTCACATTTTTGTTTTAACTCTTAACAGGCACACATGGTTCAATTAGTCAACTATTCATCAAGCCTTTGACTAATTAAATCAGGTGTGGCAATTTAGGGTTAAAACAAAAATGTGAAACTTCTGGGGGGACCAGTGGAGAGGGTTAGGAAACCCTATTTTAGGGTCAGATGCCCCAGGGTCAAGCTCTAATTAAGGCGGTACTCACCCCCGCCATTAGCTGCAATATGGTCACCTGTTCCGGTAAGGTCCATGTCCTCCGCTGTGACTTTTGATGACAATAATATACAATTAACATGAGGCAGCCAGGACTGGCATATGTTATCTATTTAGATTATTTTTTTTACACTTTACATGCGTAAACAAACACACAACCAAATAGGTACATAACACTTACCATGTGTTGAGGTCTTCTTAGACCTTTTTTGTCCAGGTCTTTTGTGAATTATGTTGCCTCTGCTGTCCCTCTCTATCCATTGGACAGGGGCAAGGCTAGTGGCAGGAGCAGGTGACCATCGCATTGCAGCTCGCTCCTTCTGATCCTAAAGTATTTATTCAAATCAAACATAGAATGGGAATCGGTCTGTGATTAAAATTACAACACAACATTGTGGTGTGTACCCATAATTCAACTGCCTTCAAAATATACTGGGGAAATGGGAAGAAATATCACTTACAGTTACATATTGTAATGCTGTGCGATAGCTTTCTCGAAGAGCCTCATCAAATGCCACCCGTGCCGCATCCCGCTCTTTGCTCAAGGTCATTTCTCTATTTGGTTTAACATAAACATTATTATATGTTAACCTAGAAAAAAAAGTACCAAAATGGGTGATCATATACTGTGAGACAATCAAATATATATATAGGTGATTCATACATGATAGAAGTAAATTGGTATACCTTGTGGATGGTTGATTTTCATTATCGTGGTTACTGCGTTATATTGTGCAAAAGCAAAAGGCAAAGCCTCCACAGTTAACACTGAAATGTTTTTGTTATTTACCTGCTTTAATTCATGAACATCTCAGGTGCGAACAAAGCTGGTATTATTATTTATGAACTAGATGTGTATTCATATTTACACAATTAGTATACAGACAGGAAAAAATAGAATTACAGTTTACAATGTGCAGACACCTGTGTAGCGATGTAATCATATTTCTATGGCACACACAGGCCATAAATAAACTGACTATGCCATCAAAGATCTAATTAAAAGGCAAAATAGTTTATTTTGTTATGTTATGTATGTTATGCAGAGTTATTGTTTATTTTAAATTGGGTGCGGTATTCAACACAACAACAGAACGAACACAATGGTCAGTTCCGGTACAAATGATAAAACGTCAGTTCCGGTACTACGGAATCATGGGAGATTGAGTTTCACATTCCGTCACTCACTGCCAGACACTTTTAAATCATGAAATAAATATCTAAATAATTCGCTATAAAATATTTCCATGCGCTTACACGATTGATATTATTGATTATCTTTTTACATAATTAATAACGGCGAGCAGCTAGCTAAAAAGGCCCAATGTTCACTGGGGTTGGAACCGGCGGGAACCAAAAAGTTAACGTTAGCATACAAGATACTGTTGGCCAGAGAGAATAAATATCACTTCCGGTCTACAAGATGAACCAATATACGTCACTGATTGAAATAAAATAGTTTAGAATAATGCGGGCCGAAATACAGAAAATACTAGATTTGTCATTTCTTGTCCAATAACTTACCTCGTTCTCACTGTAAAATAGCTAACGTTAGCTAGCTTCAACCAAATAAGCAGTTATGTTTATTTGTACTAATAGCACAAACTCAGGGCGCATCGAGTTTAAAGAGATTCAGAAGGGGCGTGGCATCAGAGGTATCTGGTAGCGCCATACATTTGTGCTAGGCTTTGAACACACCGACTGTCCCATTGCGTTTCGGTACACCAGAAGTACATTCATTTCCAATTGAACGCTGCGTTTGCCTTACAGCATTGCGTTGCAGAGGCAGTTTCAGTGCGTTCTGTGTGGTGCATATGTTGGATTTATCAAACTGTATGTGAATGCGTGAACGGGTTGACAGAAATGGTAGCAGAAGCTGAATGTTGGAACTGTTGTTGCACACATATCTAGATGATGCTGCATACTATTTTGCGCAATGACACAGTCGGTGTGTTCAAAGCGTTAGTACATAAAAACATTGTGCTAATTTTCGATGCGCCATAAGTTTGTGCTATTAGTACATAAAAACACTGTGCTAATTTGGGAGACCCATGGGGCGGCGCACAATTGGCCCAGCGTCGTCCAGGGTAGGGGAGGGAATGGCCGGCAGGGGGTGTAGCTCAGTTGGTAGAGCATGGCGTTTGCAACGCCAGGGTTGTGGGTTCGATAAAATAATATATGTGCTAACTGTAAGTCGCTCTGGATAAGAGCGTCTGCTAAATGACGTAAATGTAAATGTTGTACATAATTAATGAGAGACTGGGTTGGAGCTTGCACACGCACTAGTACGCTTCCATTCAATGCCTGATCACGTGAAAATATAGTGATGGGGCGGGAGTTAATGACGTACTACTACACATCCGCCAATCACAGCCTTTGTTTTGCGGCTTCCCATTCGACGATAACAATTCTGACATGTCTCTGTAGCGTTCAGTGAGGTAAGGCGTGAAGGCGAGCAATGTAAGAGTCATGCGGAAGGTGTGTCGGGGTATAAGTATATCACAACGAATTTCATTTATTCACTAGAAAAAGACATCCACTATGGCAAAATAGTATCCCTGTTAACACGGAAGAGACGCAAAGTCACTGTCGAGACCGCGAGGTTTTCAATCGGGGGAAGGCAACTGTTAGCCTGGGACGCTAGTTAGCTAACGTTACATATACTCATTTTTGCTAGCAACTGACCTCCACCACAACACGGCGCATTGGACTAGTGATCAATAAGTGACTCATTCCTTGTCGTCAGCCCTCCTTGTCTCCCAACCCAAAGTGGTGCCCTGCGTACGCGTCCTGGGAATATGAGACAGAATGAGTCAGAGAGATACCCTGGTTCATCTGTTTGCTGGAGGGTGAGTATCATGGCTAATCGCTAGCTAGTAATACAGTCCACTGTAACAGAAGCTACCATCATGGAATGGTAGATGAAGCTAACTAGCAAGCTATATTAAATGCAAATATGTCGAGTTAGTTAGGTATCTATTAACGTTAGTTGCTGCTAGTTTAGACTCGTTCATGATGATGTGCCTGTCTACAAGAAAATGTTTTGCTAGCTTGCTAACTATTAGCTAAATTAGCTAGCTAAATTCAATGTCATAACTGACGCTGTCTGGTTTTGGTAGGAACATCTATTTTGCGCCCACATCAACATGGCCAGCTGTTCGATTGTATACGAGTTTTGCTATTGCTATTCTCTAAATACTAACTTGATATATTGTCCGACTATTAGCCATAACCCACGATGATGCACTCGTTTTAGCACGTGCGCTGGGATGCCATTGTTTTGACCTTATTTCACATATTCTAACGTTAGCTAATGTTAACGTTGCCTGTCATCCCTTACGATTAAATGATTGAGCTAATCGTGCAACTAATGCACCATTAACGCTCAAAAGAGGACGTCTAACATTGTGGTAAGACGCAAACTATCCGGTTTCTCTCACTGAGGTATAAAGGGTTTCTCTCATAGGCCACCAGTGGCATCTGATTTAGATGTTACGTCAGAACCTAAACAAATGCTCTCCAAGGTCATACCATGGCCAGCTATAAATTACCTGAACTGCCGCAGCCGATGGGGGAACTTCTCCAATTAAACCATTCTATCTATGCAGCCCGAAGTTGTACTCGTAAATAGTCATGATGCCCACACTGTCAGTGTCACATTGTAGCGAGCTATGACTCATAGTATGAGAACTAGCCCAAGATGTGCTCATAAGGCGCCTAACGTTACCATTACACCTTAAGGTCCAAGGTATGTGTTATTTTCAGAGCTAGACTGGCTCTGGCAGCCAAAACAGCCAAATACTCAATCTAAACACAAATCGATTCTAAATTGCCATACGGTTCTAGAAACATAAATCCCTCTAATTGCATATCACATCAAAAATGTGATACTGTTTTAACCGGCTTTATCACAGTTGCAGCCAACAGTATTTTTCAGTGACAACACATTTCTGGCGGCCTTCTTCCGTTACTGTTCCGAGCATGCGAAATAGCGAATTAGCACAGGTGGTCCCTCTGTCTTCTGTAAACACGCGCTGTAACATGGAGATATGGCAGTGTGGGAACACTAACCCTATAAAGGTGTGGATCAATTAAACCTTTTGTTTTTAGAAAATTATTTATTGTTGATATGAAACATAAGGTCCTTATGGTTCCAAAGCTGTACCGCAAGCGATGCGTGTTAATGTTCAGACCGAGCTCTTAACAAAATTTCCCCATACAGAAGATCCTGCGACCAATGACTCTTATGTGTAATGGCACTTGAAATTAGAGTCATGATCAAGAGCTATATGAGGACTTGATTTATAAATAACCACAAAATGCAAGGGCTGTAGCAAAACAATCTCAAAGGTTGACAGGTAAAAAATATATAGACTCTTACTATGCACAGATGGGACGCTTTCAAGATTATGTTGAAGATTTCAGGACTCACATTTCAGCTGGTTCACTGTAGTGTGTGAAGGAGCATACCGAGCTTGAGGCTGCAGGGCAAGGTGTTACTCACAGACTCATGGCAAAAGGCCAAGATGGATGAATACAGAGCAAGAGAGCTCGTTAATGCTTGTAAACTAAGGCACATGGCCAATTTCAGGGTTGGAAGACTCCTACTGTATGTGGTATGAGGGTGACTTGACACCAATACATTAGTGTACCTCCATATTCCTTCCAGAATGGTTATCCTTAGTTTATGATGGGCAGTAGCCTAATCAACAGGGCTGGGTTTTGCCGCTTCCTAGCTGACTAAACTCAACTCCACGATTTACGATGGAGTTGAGTTGCGACTAGTGTGGGCAGACTGGAGTTCCGACGTCACATAAAATGATGTTTTTTTTATTTTTTTTATTATAGATTTCAGCACCAAAAGAATAGCCTGCATTTACACAGGACAATGTAATGTGTAAATGCGGGCTATTCTTTGAGGTGCTGAAATCTGTAGTTTTTTAAAATAAAAACTTGATTTTATGTGATGTCGGAACTCCATTCAGCCCACACTAGTCACTGCTCAACTCCATGGTAAATCGTGGAGTTTAGTCAGCTAGCCCCTTCCCTGTAACTGTGTCATGCGGGTCTCCATAACATTCGGCTGCGTCTCAAGTCTTTTATTGGCTCCTATTTTTTATTGACATCAAAATAAAAACACAAGAGTTGGTGGCATTACACATGGCAGACATATTGAGGCCTGGACATGTTCTCCTTTCCTTCAAAATAACATCAGTAGTTTGACATAGGACTATTGGTCCCAGGTAAGTTAGAGATAGTTTAGCCCCACACCCTCCCATCGTGTCCTCCACGTTGCTCTTGCTCTGTCACATGTGTAGACATGCACAGTCCACATGTGCCAGGCGTGCATGTTTAGCAGGTCAGCTTCCCTCATTCCCACCTCTGTTTACTGTGGCCATCTCCCTCTCTCTCTGCCTCAATACAAGTATGGATTAATGATCAACCACCATACCATCACAGTTAGGCCTGTATCTGTAATTTACTGGGGCTTGGCTGAAAATATTCCCTCATGTCTGTGTCTTTTTATAGTTTATGATACAACTCAGGGCTAGGTTATAAACACATACTTTCTACTTGCCATATTGCCCCCCAAATGACTTGTAGAACGTAGGCTACTTCATCCCACTCCCATTGCTTTCAAAACCGTGTTGTTGAATTCTTGAGTTCCTATAAAGAAGCTCAGACTCAGTCATTGGTAGCCTGGTCATTTGTGTGCTTTTGGAAAGCGTTAGGTCAGATTAGGTGTGTGAAAGGTACTAGCACAGAGTATTTGTTATTGCATTGATTCATTCCAGGCGAGAACAGTTGTCCTCAGACAGGGGGCATTACTGTGCTGACTCTCCAAGGCTTCCCCTAGTCTCCACACTGCATCACAAGCCTCCCCTAGTCTCTGCATTGCTCAAGCCGCAAATCCTCAGGATTCCATCCACAGTGTATTTCTGTAATGGAATCAGCAACTTCCATCCAGACAGGCAGTTTGTCTGCTGCTTTTCTCGAGCAGCTGAGAGATATGTGCTGCCACCTCAGAAAAGCACGCAATTCTACCTCTGTCCTCGTGGCTGTGGGTTGTTTGCACTGACGCACTCTCTCTCCCTTTCTATACCCTTTCCTATCCCTCTGTTTTCTTCCCCACTCTGTTCTCTCTCCCTCTCTCCCCCTCTCCACTCTCCTCCTCTAGGTGTGGGGGAACGGTAGGAGCCATCCTGACCTGTCCCCTGGAGGTGGTGAAGACCAGACTCCAGTCATCCCACATCACACTCTACGTGTCTGAGGTGCAGCTCAGTACCGTCAATGGGCCCAGCGTAGCACGCATGTCCCCTCCAGGACCCCTGCACTGCCTCAAGTGGGTATTATATTCAGCCTGCACAACTTGATTTACTAGCGTTGTCATAGTAAGATCAAACAGGCATAGGCCTATATTCCAATGTCTAGTTATGTTTTTTGTTAACTATCAAACACTTCAAATACAATACTTTATGCTTGTGTTATTGGTTTTGATTGTTTTGGATTTATTACTGTCATTGCCCTCCAGCATTGCACATTAAACTTCACAGTAAACAGTCCTTAGTAGCCTAATGCATAGACGTCTCAAGAAACCAGAGAGTAAAAATGAGCTGGTCTATTTTGGGTGTTTACTCTCCATCCGCTCTACCCCCTTATGTATTTTGGGTGTTTACTCTCCATCCGCTCTACCCCCTGCCCCCTTGTGGGGTTTGGCTGCAGGATCCCTCCCTCCTCACGAAACCCCATGTTGTTGTTTGCTCTGGCTCATATCTCCTTGGCAGGCAGAGCCATGTGGACTGAAATCCAACTCCTAGAGCTCGTCTCTCTCTCCTACCTTCAGAGAAAGGCCTGTCTGAGGATCTGTAGCCTACCCCAGCAGCAGGATATATCACATCACTTCGTATCCAACTCCTATTCTATCATACTTAATGTTTTTCTTTCTACAAGTTCTTGTTGCAACCCAGCAAGGCTTTCGGCAGACCCTATTCCTAGTTCATTGTTATAAACGCCACTGAAGTTTCAGTGAAAATAATGTGAATATTTGTGAGTGGTGGGTAAGGGAATTGAGATGTTCTGTTTTTGTCTTCAGGTTGATTCTTGAGAAAGAAGGAGCCCGCTCTCTGTTCAGGGGCCTGGGGCCTAACCTAGTGGGCGTGGCCCCCTCCAGGTAAGCGCCTAAATATTTTAGATGAATGAAATTATAGTACTGTATGATAATTTCATATTTCAGTCTAAACAATATCACTAACCACGTTTCCATCAAACCATTTCATACGGATGAATTACCTGACGCATAGAAAAAGTCAAATTTCTAAACGGTTCACCCGATATGGATGAAAATACCCTCAAATTAAAGCTGACAGTTTGCACTTTAACCTTGTAATAATTGTATCATTTCAAATCCAAAGTGCTAGAGTACAGAGCCAAAACAAAACAAAAATGGACACTGACCCAATACATTTAGAGCTCACTGTATGTGTGAGCTACGCAGTATCTGCCCTAGGGTTGCAAAGCTACTGGTAAGTTACCAAAGTTACCGGAATCTTCAGTAATTTTGGTAATTAACTAAATCTATGGCACTCTATCGTAACTTTGGTAATTTATTCTTGAAAAACTGTAAAAATATATATATTCATATTAGGGCTGACCCCATTTAGTCGACTGGTCGATTGTTTGGTTTGTTGACCAAGATTTTTTTTAGTCGAGCAGTCGCAAATATATATATTGTTTTTATGACACACGAGACACCTTTCTGATTTGCGCCTGTCTCAGAGGACTAATCCATTGAGGAGGCCGCAGGGATGCCACGGTCCAAGAAGAAGGGGAGAGTGACTAAGATGCACGTCTCTCTCCAGAATGCGCTCTCTTCCGCCATTTTGTGCCCATTCATTGGTTCAAAACTTAGTGTAAATTGTTTGCCCTTTGATTGTTATGTCTATCAATTCCCCATTACATAGATCACCAGTAGTAGCCTACATTTAGCATTAATTCCCATAATTTCTCATCTACAATGTTTGTTTGGTTACGGTAATTTCTGTTAATGCATTCAATATACTATTATTACACTCATTTACCGTTCTCATTGTCGGAGTGGACACGTTGTTTGCAGAGCTCAGCACCTATGTTACACTTGTGAGAAACAAGTTTTGGTTTATTTCATTCCATCTATACATTTTTGTCAATTTATTGGACGGGCACCTGATTACGCATATAGAAGTGGGCCTAGGCTACCTGGCCTGCGAGCAAATGTAGGCCTATAAATCTGCCCATTTGGGGATTTCTGATTGTCTCAACTCACCACCACTAACGACCTGTGGAGCTTCTCAAAGTAATTTTTCTTCACCTCAAACAACAATGTAAACAATGTCTGTTTTTAGAATCAAATGAGAGTGACAATAGTTCGTCAATGTATTTGAAATATATTTCCATCTCTCTCCCTTTTGATAACCACTTGGCATGAAAGGGAAAAATGTAATTCTCTGATCCAGTGGAAACGTCATAAAATACCTGATTTACTTCTTATCCCTTGAACAAATACCCTACAGCTGTGTCTGTCCCTGGCATGGGAAACTCTTGAGGGCCCAGAATATTTTATACAATGTTGCAAGTTCACTAGCACGAGTTGGCAATGGCAGTAGAAGTTCATTTCAGATTTGTATCATTTTCATTTAGATAGATGTCATGTAGTTCATTTTAATTACAATGATTTTGAGATACAAAGTCTATTATAAATTAAATTAAACTGTTCCACGAACATGTGCATATGAAAATCATAACTGGCACGCAGATCAGTAGAAATGGTAAGATAAATTCGCACTCCAAATGGAAAAGGAAAAGGATGCTGACCCCTGGTGTAGCCTATTACAGGCAACTTCAGGAGCGTAATGGCAGAATCTGCCAAGGCCAGCAACAGTAGGAGGGTCGGGAACATGTTTTTTATCTTCTGTTTGATCTCTGGCTCCCTCTTGAGTCATTTGTGTGTCTTCATTATTTAATCAAACAGCATTCTCAAAGCATCAGACAAGTTAAGTACATATAGATTATTTTATTAAAACATATAGGGTGTGTCTTTACAGTATATGGAAAAATACACATTTAAAAATGTAGACCAAGAAAACACTACTCCTGGTCGACCAATATGTTTTTTTGTAGAGGACAGCTCTAAATCATAGATAGATAGGTAGATAGATATAATTCATTTATAATATCTGTGTCCATGAGTATGTAGTAGATAGATCATATGGTTCCATTGCCCAATTAATGAAAAAAACATCTAATCAGCAATGGCATGATTTTCAATTAACTCTGCAACTCTTCCAACTATTGACAGTTTTCACAACTGCCACCAGTTTGATGCCAAAACATTGACAACTAATACATATTGACATAGTAAAAAAAAAAAAAAAGAGTTAGTAAAAAATATATAAAGGATATTTCATGCTGAAACCCTCATATTAAAGGTATACTCTGTGAAATTCCGTTGCCACGAGCACCACCGGAGATATTGAGATGAGCGAGATACAACACTTTGCTCTCACAGTCACACACAGTATCTCTGCATATGCATGGGTTCGTTTCACTCTGTTCACAGCATGGTAGCCAGGGTACCAAAACAGCTGAGAAAGTTGACCCTCGCGCTTCAACACTCTTAGTTGTTGCAGAAATTGACCCACTGTTTACTTTCTGCATCTGCGTCATATTGCTGAGTCTACCTTTAAACATCAATGGTATTCACTAAGTTGATGGTTTATATTTAGAATGTTTTACAGCTGTTTCATTCTATTTGGTTTATTTTAAAATAATCTCATGCAATTTGTTCATATATTTTACATGTGATAAGGCCACACAGAGGACCAGAGACTATTAGACACCTGTGATAATCTGAAGTACCCAAAACGGCCACTAGATGACTTGTGATAGATCACATAAAATCCTTGAAAGATACCAAAAATCTGGTAGCTTACTGGTAAACTTCAAAAGTTTCCAGTAATATACCCTCCCTTTACAACCCTAATCTAGTCTATCATATGTGGAAGGAGCTACTATTAACATTATCTGACATTGACCCACTGGAGGGCAACTGCACACACACAGTCGATGTTAGCACTGAAGTCGGAGTTCTCAGTTGTCGTGTAGGAATGTCTGAGGGGTCACTTTGTTGCCGTGGTTAATAGTCAAAGGGTTCTGGGAGGTTACTGTGTCACTAGTGTTTGGTGTCATCAAGTTGACGGGGGTCCATTTTACATCTTACAATTGTACTTTTACAGAGTTGTGAATCAGTCAATCACTATCACAGTGATTATCTCACTCCTAGTCCATCTGTTAGACTGGACAAACAGTCGGTCACTGTGGAGGATAAAGTAGAGGAAAACAACCAAACTAGGGTTTCTGAGTGAGAGAGATAAGCTGATCACAGCTACAATGATCAGGGCTCAGAGTAGCACTGTACTCTAACCATCTGTAGGACTGAGAGAAAAGCTTAGATGCTAAATTGCTACTAATGCTAATAAGACCCTGGCCCGCTGATGATGATGCGTCTAAGTGGTGGCTAATGGTAGAAGCTAGCTAATGCTTTGTCTAACAAGAGCTTGTGCTAAGCGTTTGTGAAGTGCTTTGTTGACACTGTCAGGGTTTACGCTGATGCAGAGTCAAATCACCTGGGCCTCTGACGCAACACGAAATACACTAGTATGTGGACACCCCTTCAAATATGTGGATTCAGCTATTTCAACCACACCCGTTACTGACGGGTGTATAAAATCGAGCACACAGCCATGCAATCTCCATAGACAAACATTGGCAGTAGAATGGCCTGTACTGAAAAGCTCAGTGACTTTCAACATGGCACCGTCATAGGATGCCACCTTTCCAATAACTCAGTTTGTAAAATTTCTGCCCTGCTAGAGCTGCCCCAGTCAACTATAAGTGCAGTTATTGTGAAGTGGAAATGTCTAGGAACAACAACGGCTCAGCCGCGAAGTGGTAGGCCACACAAGCTCACAGAACGGGACCGCTGAAGTGCGTAGCGCGTAAACATCGACTGTCCTCGGTTGCAACCCTCACTACCGGTTTTCCAAACTGCCTCTGGAAGCAACGTCAGCACAATAACTGTTTGTTGGAAGCTTCATGAAATGGGTTTCCATGGCCGAGCAGCCGCACACAAGCCTAAGATCACCATGCGCAATGCCAAGCGTCGGCTGGAGTGGTGTAAAGCTTGCCGCCATTGGACTCCATATTAATGCCCATGATTTTGGAATGATGTTCAACGAGCAGGTGTCCACAAAATGTTGGCCATGTAGGGTATAAATCTAGGCTACACACACATACATAGACAGTCTTGTACAGCTAACCTTGTGCGGACACACAATTCAGTCCCCAGTTGGTCAAATATTTGTTTGTTTACTATTCTTGTGGGTCCCCACAAGAATAGTTAAACACCTCCACACACAAACACACTGTGACTGATAAGCTTTTAGTGTGTGTACTGGGTGTACTGAATGTAATTATTTACTTAAGTTGCAAAATTCCAGTGACTTTCCCAAAATTCCTAGGTTTTCCATAAATCCTGGTTGGAAGTTTCCAAGTGCCAGGTGGGAATAAGCAGGAAATCCGGTATCCTCCAACCAGGATTTCTGGTAAACCGGTGAATTTTTGGAACTATACCAGAATTTTGCAACCTTACTCCTTTTATCACTGTGTGTTTTGTCCAATAAGGCCTATATTAAACTGAAACACTCAGCCTAGCTGTTGTTGCTGTTGGCTTTACTCTTAATTAGTGGGGGTGTAACGGTTCACCAAACCCACGGTTTGTTGTGTATTGCACTTTTGGTGTCACGGTTCGGTTTTAGTACAGCGGGAAAATAAAATGCCAACAGTAACTATAGTTAAAGATGCACTATGCAGAAATCTCTCAGCCATTTTCTGGTTGCTAAAATTCTAATAGTTTGCCTAATTTCAGTTTGTGACAAAACAAGCAAGAATATTGTAGGGATTCATTGTACCAGCTAAACCGCTGTGAAATATATTTTCCATAACCAACATATTGTATTTTTCAGCTGTTTGAAGCTGGTGTACAAAACCGAAAGTAAAAGATGCAAAAATAAAAACGGGAAGCATAGAAATAGCACCCATAGAACAGATCTACCGCTTTTGGTATTCCTGATTCCATATATGATCATGAGTCATAATGCCTGACGAGAGCACCATCAGGAATAACAACACTTTGTATTCTCTTAAATGAAAACACCCGATTTACTCAATATGCGTGTGAAATCAATATGTAAACATGGCTCAGAGGTGCTGAAACCTACTATTCTTCTCAACCACCGAGAATGGGCGCATATCCGTGACCATAAACATACCTATCGCTCTTGTAATTTCTTTGGCCTGGTCAGAATCAGCTGCTTGAATGCAGAGGGGAAACAAAGTTGTACTTGTTTTTTTGCGTTTCCGTCTTGCTCCGGTGGTAGGAATACTGAGGTGATGTCGACATAAATGTTTGAGGTGTTGGCAGCTGCATAAGCTATTCTTGTTGAGCAGTGGCAACTCACTGTTAACGTTTTATCCTCAACTCTCTGTCCATTGCCATTGTAATCTACTGGGAAACCCAAATGTTCCCAAACTGAAGATTTAAACGATGATGGGGAATCCTCCTGGTTTATCGACCCCACCACTCATCGTCGTAAAGAACTAGTTCCCGGCTGCGCTTAAAAAAAAGACCATTTGAAATGCGGCATCTAAATGTTTTTTAACGGAATAGCCTGAATAAGATTTACTCGAGGCATACAACGCAGCGAAGGCATAACCTATAGGCCTAGTGTTTTAAATGTTTATATATTTATTATGTATTCATTCGGGTTCACAGTGCGGACCGAACAGTGGTCCCTGTACCGAACAGTTCGGTACGAATACATGTACCGTTACACCCCTATTAATCAGCCCAGTCGTTGTTGCGGTTGGCTTTATTCTTAATTAGCCTAGTCAGATTAGTAGGTAGAGAGCTGGACAATAAAGTTTGGTAATGTTGTCATGAATTAGCTACACTGCTGCTGGAAGGAGACTAGTGGCTTACATAAGAGGCTGTTGTTCTTTACGTATCGTCGGTTACGAGAGAGACTAGTTCGTTTTGCACTAAAGATGTTGCCTAACCGTAACATTCAATACTTTATTTTCTTCACTGTGTATGTACAGTATCTCACAAAAGTGAGTACACTCCTCACATTTTTGGAAATATGAGTATATCTTTTCATGTGACAACACTGAAGAAATGACACTTTGCTACAATGTAAAGTAGTGAGTGTACAGCTTGTATAACAGTGTACATTTGCTGTCCCCTCAAAATAACTCAACACACAGCCATTAATGTCTAAACCGCTGGCAACAAAAGTGAGTACACCCCTAAGTGAAAATGTCCAAATTGGGCCCAAAGTGTCAATATTTTGTGTGGCCACCATCATTTTCCAACACTGCCTTAACCCTCTTGGGCATGGAGTTCACCAGAGCTTCACAGGTTGCCACTGGAGTCCTCTTCCATGACGACATCACGGAGCTGATGGATGTTACAGACCTTGCACTTCTCCACCTTCCGTTTGAGGATGCCCCACAAATGCTCAATAGGGTTTAGGTCTGGAGACATGCTTGGCCAGTCCATCACCTTTACCCTTAGCTTCTTTAGCAAGGCAGTGGTCGTCTTGGAGGTGTGTTTGGGGTCATTATCATGTTGGAATACTGCCCTGCGGCCCAGTCTCCGAAGGGAGGGGATCATGCTCTGCTTCAGTATGTCACAGTACATGTTGGCATTCATGGTTCCCTCAATGAACTGTAGCTCCCCAGTGCCGGCAGCACTCATGCAGCCCCAGACCATGACACTCCCACCACGCTTGACTGTAGGCAAGACACACTTGTCTTTGTACTCCTCACCTGGTTGCCGCCACACACACTTGACACCATCTGAACCAAATAAGTTTATCTTGGTCTCATCAGACCACAGGACATGGTTCCAGTAATCCATGTCCTTAGTCTGCTTGTCTTCAGCAAACTGTTTGCAGGCTTTCTTGTGCATCATCTTTAGAAGAGGCTTCCTTCTGGGATGACAGCCATGCAGACCAATTTGATGCATTGAGCGGCATATGGTCTGAGCACTGACAGGCTGACCCCCCACCCCTTCAACCTCTGCAGCAATGCTGGCAGCACTCATACGTCTATTTCCCAAAGACAACCTTTGGATATGACGATGAGAACGTGCACTCAACTTCTTTGGTTGACCATGGCGAGGCCTGTTCTGAGAGGAACCTGTCCTGTTAAACCGCTGTATGGTCTTGGCCACTGTGCTGCAGCTCAGTTTCAGGGTCTTGGCAACCTTCTTATAGCCCAGGCCATCTTTATGTAGAGCAACAATTCTTTTTTTCAGATCCTCAGAGAGTTATTTGCCATGAGGTGCCATGTTGAACTTCCAGTGACCAGTATGAGGGAGTGTGAGAGCGATGACACCAAATTTAACACACCTGCTCCCCATTCACACCTGAGACCTTGTAACACTAACGAGTCACATGACACCGGGGAGGGAAAATGGCTAATTGGGCCCAATTTGGACATTTTCACTTAGGGGTGTACTCACTTTTATTGCCAGCGGTTTAGACATTAATGGCTGTGTGTTGAGTTCTTTTGAGGGGACAGCAAATGTACACTGTTATACAAGCTGTACACTCACTACTTTACATTGTTACAAAGTGTCATTTCTTCAGTGTTGTCACATGAAAAGATATACTCAAATATTTACAAAAATGTGAGGGGTGTACTCACTTTTGTGAGATACTAGTCAGTCTATGTATGTTGTGTGTAGGTCTTCTACTGTATGTTGTAAGTTCCATGGCAGTACAAGGGATTCCCCACCAGGGACGGTGAAGATATTGATTCCTGTGCTGTACAGTATGTATCATGTTCTCTGTTTAATCCCTCGACCCTGTCTCCTCCTCCAGAGCCATCTATTTTGCTGCGTACTCCAGTGCCAAAGAGAGACTGAATGAAGTGTTTGAGCCGGACTCTACACAGGTCCACATGGTATCTGCTGGCTTGGCAGGTAACCACACCAACCTCAACCTCACTCACTTTCTAACACTATACCATGTAGTCTTTTTTTAACTGTTTTATTTATAGATTTTTCATAGGTAGGTATACTTTTCAATCACATATTTTTCTGTGAGTATTCAGTCAACTGCAGCTAGTAAATTTGGATGATAGCCTAACCTGGAGTGTCATGTGATGTGACCACTTCTAATGTGTTGGTCAGACATGCCAGAGGACTGGACCTGACCGGGTCAGTGGTGTCAAACCCAGACTGACTAGTTCTGTAGAGGTCCCCTACCTCACCTTCCTATTATAAGGTTAGGTTTCTATATTCTAGTCTTGTGCTACAGTATATCTGTCCAGCAGCTCTCAGCCTATTGTTTCATGTGACAGCTCCCAATATGACCTAATCCTCTAGCCTAGTGCCTAAACTAGTTTCTGACAGGAAGTGTCCCTCTTTGTCTTTCCATGTGCATGTTATTAGGACTTTATTGGTTTTTCAAAGACAAGGGAGTAGAATAAAGTATATTTATTGTTGACGTTCCGTCTACAAATACTTTTTCAAGACAAGTCTCAGTTAGGCCTAATATAATGCAAGAGCTCAAACCTAGACACTCCCCTAGGCCTCCTGTACGCAAACACTGGCTTATCCCGTTTCCCCTGGCCGTGTGTCATCATACACCTCTGCTTCAAAGTGACAATCCCATGTTAAACCTGACATATCAGGCTGATGAGTGCAGATGGACTCCCTAGCAGGCTGATGAGTGCAGATGGACTCCCTAGCAGGCTGATGAGTGCAGATGGACTCCCTAGCAGGCTGATGAGTGCAGATGGACTCCCTAGCAGGCTGATGCGTGCAGTACTAGAGATGGGTTGTGTAAAAAAAGTTTAGGAGGATCTTCTACTAAACAGCCTTACTAGACACAAGCTGGTTTCATACATGTTCGTGACATGCATGAGATGTCCTGATGAAGGTCGACTGACTGAAAGTTCAGCCACAATTAAAGAAATTTGCATCTGACTGGAAGTGTGCGGAGACTTGTGCCTTTTGTCTCCAGCAAAAGTGTGCGGTAGATTCTACCTATTATCATAAAATTATATTGTAAAACTCCAACTTGTGCAGTATTTCACACACATACACACACACACACACACACTAGTCTCTCTCTAGATGATTCTTTCTGTCCAGTGTCACAGTGATCCTAGGAGCAATATGTAATGTAGCCTAGACTCCTGGCTTCTACCCTTTAGAATTTAGGTAAGTCAAGCAAGCTGGCCTTTTAAGGAGCGCTGTGTGTTTCTGTAATGGAGGACCAGAGTGAACGTGGGACTGTGTGTTTTTGACAGGTCAACGTTAACACCCTATCCCTCTGAGCAGCATGACTCGGTCCTTCCACCAATCAAGTCAAGGTCGGCTCGGCTTTATTTAGTCTGGCGGGTAGGAGCATTGGGCCAGTAACCAAAAGGTTCCTGGATCGAATCCCCGAGCTGACAAGGTCAAAATCTATTGTTCTGCCCCTGAGCAAGGCAGTTAACCCACTGTTCCCCGGGCGCTGATGACGTGGATGGCGATTAAGGCAGCCCCCCGCACCTCTCTGATTCAGAGGGGTTGGGTTAAATGCGGAAGACACATTTCAGTTGAATGCATTCAGTTGTACAACTGACTAGGTATCCCCTTTTCCATAGTCAGCCGATGTACGCCCCATCGTAGATATGTGATACATAGAGCTCATTGGTACATTGTAGATATGTGTTACATAGAGCTCATTGGTACATTGTAGATATGTGATACAGAGAGCTCATTGGTACATCATAGAAATGTGATACATAGAGCTCATTGGTACATCGTAGATATGTGATACAGAGAGCTATGTAGCCAAGTGGCTTCTGCAGAGCTAGGAATAACCCTGAGATCAGTGTCAACATGACTCCCAGGCTAAAGTAGCCTAACAATGATATTATGGGAGTGTAACCTTTACACACACTAACATGCACATGCTCACACATTACAGCACACATGCTGTCACAACACAGATATCCTAGGCCTTGTCATACTGTGGTATGTTCATGAGCTCTCTTAAAAGCTCTCTTAAAAAGGTTAGCAACAGTTCTTAATTTCTGATGGTTTTAAATTCCCTTTAGGGTGGATGCTTCAGAGAAGTTTTGGACAGTGTTTTGTTCTGCAGCTTGGTAGACAAACACTCCTGTGGTGTTTGTCTATGAAGTAAAGTGTGTCTGAATGTGAGCTCTTGTCCTTCCTCTCAGGGTTCACAGCAATCACAGCTACCAACCCGATCTGGCTCATCAAGACTCGCATGCAGCTGGACTCCAGGTAAACACACACGTCTGACTCGGTAGTGGATTTAGGATGTGGTGTCGGTGTACAACCTCTCTGTCGGTGTACAATCTCTCTGTCGGTGTACACCCTCTCTGTCGGCTGTACCATTAGTAAATCCCTATTCCACCTGCCTTTCATAGGAACCGCGGGGAGAAGCCCATGAATGCGTTTGATTGTTTGCGGCGGGTGTACCAGACAGAAGGCCTGCGAGGGTTCTACCGGGGAATGTCAGCGTCCTACGCTGGAATCTCAGAGACTGTGATCCATTTTGTCATCTATGAGAGCATCAAGCGTCGCCTCATGGAGGCCAAGGCCGCGCAGCACATGGACGAGGAGGTGGAGGAGGATTCGTCCAAGGATGCCTCGGACTTTGTGGGGATGATGCTCGCCGCCGCCACCTCCAAGACCTGTGCCACGTCCATCGCTTACCCCCACGGTGAGAGCACTGCATCCTGGGAGCAGGAGGGTGGATGTGGTCTGAGTAGAGGATAGGGGGTTTATAGTCAGTCGTGTGTTTATAGTTAGAACCTGTAGTTAGTATTGGTTGTCCTTAGACCATGTTACTGTGAGAGTAAATTATATTCAAGTCCAGTATGGATTCTAGTATTGGGAAAGTCTTTATTTTGAATGTACCAGGAAATTAGCGTACTCATCTCCTTCTCCTCTCTTTACAGAAGTGATCCGGACCCGGTTACGGGAGGAAGGCACCAAGTACCGTTCCTTCTTCCAGACTCTGACCACGGTGCCCAAGGAAGAGGGCTACCGGGCGCTGTACCGCGGCCTCACCACCCACCTGGTGCGCCAGATCCCTAACACCGCCATCATGATGTGCACCTACGAGCTAGTGGTCTACATGCTGAACGGTTAACCTTTGACCCTTGACCTATGACCCCAGATTAAACCCCAGAGAGAGATGGGCCGACGCCCCACGTGGACGGATGGCATAAAGAGACCCCCGAGAAACTAAACAGGAGAGGGACCAGGGACTGTCATCTCTCCCACCTCCAGTCCCTCCATCCGGTCTGTCTAAAACTAAACAGGAGAGGGAGCAGGGACTGTCATCTCTCCCACCTCCAGTCCCTCCATCCGGTCTGTCTAAAACTAAACAGGAGAGGGAGCATGGACTGTCATCTCTCCCACCTCCAGTCCCTCCATCCTGTCTGTCTAAAACTAAACAGGAGAGGGAGCAGGGACTGTCATCTCTCCCACCTCCAGTCCCTCCATCCTGTCTGTCTAAAACTAAACAGGAGAGGGACCAGGGACTGTCATCTCTCCCACCTCCAGTCCCTCCATCCTGTCTGTCTAAAACTAAACAGGAGAGGGACCAGGGACTGTCATCTCTCCCACCTCCAGTCCCTCCATCCTGTCTGTCTAAAACTAAACAGGAGAGGGACCAGGGACTGTCATCTCTCCCACCTCCAGTCCCTCCATCCGGTGTGTCTAAAACTAAAGCAAATTGTCCCAAAAGCACCCTGTTTTTTGGCATGGAGAGTTTTAGGGTTGTTTTCAGGGGTGCACGACACAGGAAGAGGGGTTGGTAGACAGGAAATCACCATGTTGGTTTTGGGGATATGGTTTAAAGGTGTTTAAAAAGAAGCTGTCTCATTGAAAATTAGTCCTTAGGAGCCCTTTCTCTCTCTCCTTTTCTTGCCCTCCTCTCTTATTGTGTCACTCCTAAATAAGCTTCTTTACAAGCGCATAGCTTACTGGAGCAGGTACATTGGGGAGAACACTCAAGCTATTTTAGATTCTTAACAATACTAATCATTTCTCTGGTTTGTGTGTCAAGGGGGCAATTGGTAGTAGAGGCTTGTTGAGTGCAGGGAGGTCTTGAGGTGAGGATAGGGTTGGAGGTTGGAGCGAGGTGGATAGGGCATGTGCCTTGTCTTGCGTGAAGACTTGAACAGACCTGTATAGATGTGAGGTTGAGGAGGGGGCGCAAAGGTCAGACCAGCCCTGGTTTCTGGATCTCAGTAGACCACAGTTGGACCGCAGGCATTCAGAACCACACATAGTGCTGGTCGGGTCCACTTTGCACTCAGGACCAAGCCTGGTCCCCTCCACCCTAGTTGGTCAACAAGCACACAGATTGTCCCTACAGGGGCTAGTCCACTCTGACAAACCTAACCTCTGAGACTGGCTGGCCCTGACTGACATCCTGACTAACACTATAGGCATTGATACTCTTGACTCATACTGGAAGCTTAAACATATGCAGCAGCACACACAGTGTTCTCTTTGTGTGTGTGTTCTGTAGAGCAAGTAGGGTGTTAGTAAGATCCTTTGACCCACTCCCTCATAGCACCCAGACTGACCACAATCATCCGGTCAATCATAACTACTTGAATGTTAACCAACACAAGGAATAACAAACTAAAGACTATGGAGCATTGTCTCACATCAGATGGCAACCTTGTGAATATTCTAAGACAGAAAAAATGATAACAGAAAATACAAAAGTTTACAAACTTAACAAGACAATTATAATAATGATAATTATATGAAAAATTATATATTAATGTCTTCATAAGATGTAACATTGTTGCATTTTTCTGCCCAGTCATGGGAGTGTAAACTATATGTTTTGGGGGGGGATTGGGGAGTGAACCTCTGAACCCCCAAGGTTTCCCCTCCCTTAGACATATGTGTGATTTTTTAATGCACTTTTCTGTAGACCTGCTCTGACCTACAGTTGCATCTCTTCTTTCTCTGCCTCAGAATCCAAGCAAGTGTTACAGATGAGACAATCCTCTTTCCAGTCTTCACTTTGGGAATAGATGGGGATACTCTAGAGTGTATGTGTTTGAAATGCTACACTATAAGGAGACCCTATGTTGTCTATCCCCATACTTTATGCAGTATATGTGTGGTTTAACAAGTGTTTTTTAAAGAAAACAAGATGACTGCATTTCAAACCGATTTTCAAAAATGTTTCATTTTGAAACTTTTTTTGGGGGGGGTTGTCATTTTTAATCTGACTCTTTTTTGATGCCTTGCCTTGAAAACAGAAAGATGCTTGCTCTCTACTTCTTTCACCTCCCTTTATTTAGCTGTTTTTCCTGTTATTTTCTGTCTGTCATTTTCAAACTGTGAGAACTCAATGTTCATAATCTCCTTGTCTAGCTGTTGTTTACGTTCAGCCTTGTGTAACCATGGAGACACTCTCACCTACTGACCTTTCCCCGCTCAATTGATACGAGCACAAAGAGCCTTTCCAGCACATGTAAGCTTCACTGCAGCCATTGTCAAATAGCCACAGGTCACACTAATGCTAGAAATAAGAATTAGGTTCATAACATGCTGCCTGTTCCTTAAACAAATTACTGTATTGCTACTCAATATTCACTCTGGAGAGAGTAATGACATAACTGGAGTTGTATCAATATCTAGGTAAACTGTAGCTAGTTTTCTCTTGAGATATGTGCACTGCTCAAATGCATCTCTTCACCCTTCATGCCAGCTGGGGTCTGGGCGACAGGGCTGAGACAATCCCTCCTGTGCCATCATGAAGGTTGTGGAAGCAACTAACAACCTCACTAAAACTGTAGGTAGTTAGACCCATTTCTAAAAAGGGTCAATGGTGAAATCTGAAATCAGCTTATTCTGTATCACCCTCACTGAACATTCACATCTTACTGCACACACATGAAGTATGCATTATATCGGAGAACTGCTCTATTATAATTAATGCATAGAGCAGGATAAATATCTACAGATTATTGATACGTCTGTTCAATTTGCGCTGCAATCTCTGAAACCTGAGCTAGTGTAGTGGGTGGTTCCATTGCTGCTAGTACACCCACTGGCAGCAGACAAACTCCGCAAACTAAACTATCTTCTGTTGGAAAGCTCTACTGAGTGACTACAGCAGGGGTTTCCCAGCCCCCTCCTCAGGAACCACCAGACGGCACACCTGATTCAATTAGTCAACTATCACCAAGCCCTTGGCTAATTGAGTTGTGCCATTTCGGGGCTCCAATTAATATGTGAACCATCTGGTGGTCCCCGAGGAGAGGTTTGGGAAATATTATACTACACCAGGGATAGGCAACTTTGATGGGGGAGGGACACACAAAACATTTGCTTGTGCATCTGCATACCCACATCCATACTCCCAAACACACACATTATGAGCAAAACATTTTAGCGGCCCCCCTCTTGACAGCGGATTGACATTTTTTAATGTTTGGAGTTAATGTCGTGCAATTCAACGTAGAGAAACTGCAGTTTTAAAGCATGTTTTCTATAATTCTACATATTTTGCCAAGGGGTGGAGAAAAGCTGTTGCAATTTTATAACTAATTTCAGGCAATTCTACTCATTTTGCCATGGGCGGAGAGGAATATTTGCTTTTTTACAGCTAATTTCCTGCAATCCTACGCATTTTGCCATAGGGTGGCGAGAAATGTTTGCAGTTTTTAATATATCTGAGTGAGACTGACTAACAATGGGGGCCCCCTGGCCGATAATTCGACCATGATTACTAGGTTTAGCTGGCCGCTAGACTAATTTACCAATCTTTTTTTGGTTGCTGACATCAGTGGTGGAAAAAGTACCCAATTGACATATTTGAGTAGAAGTAAAATGACTCACCCAGTAAAATACTACTTGAGTAAAAGTATTTGGTTTTAAATATACTTAAGTATTAAAAGTAAATGTAATTACAAAAGTATACTTAAGTATCAAAAGTAAAATTATAAATCATTTCCCATTCCTTATTTGCACAATCACATTTTTAAATTGCACCTTGTGTATTCTACAAATTCTAACTCGCAACAGTAAGTTGAGATCCCGAGTTAGTTCCCAAAATAATATATACAGGGAGCTCCAAAAGTATTGGAACGCAAAAAAATGCTAACCTCCCCTGTTATTGTAATGGTGAGAGGTTAGCAATTTGTAGTCACAAGCTTGATGTAGTCATTGCGTGCTATGAATATGGGACCAAATACTTCACTTTTTACTACTTTAATACAACATAAGTGAATTTGTCCCAATACTTTTGGTCCCCTAAAATGGGGAGACTGTGTACAAAAAGTGCTGTAATTTCTAGACGGTTCACCCGACATGGATGAAGATACCCTCAAATTAAAGCTAACAGTCTGCACTTTAACCTCATAGTCATTGTAAAATCCAAAGTTCTGGAGTACAGAGCCAAAACAAATGTGTCACTGTCGCCATAGTTTTGGAGGTCCCTGTATAATTCATATCTTATCTTTTTTTTCTTGATCCATGCGGCCTGCCAGTTACCCATCCCTGCTCTACATGTACGTGCTTCTACTCTGGGTATATCACTGTGTGTGTGCTTATAACCAGAGCCATTTGGTACACAGTTCTTTCACATGGGTCTGTTCTCGTCTTGCCCCTGAATGTCTAAATTGTGTGTGTGTGTTTGAGAGCGAGAGTGTGTGTGTTTGAGAGCGAGAGCGTGTGTTTCCGTTCCAAATTATTCTTGTCATGCCCTTTTCTGTTTTGTAGGTGTGTGTGAGACCCTGTGTGTCCTTTAGAAGTACACACTCAGTCCATTAATGACTTAACAGTGTTGTTTTCCTTTTCCATTTATTTCCTATAATTTGTGTTTTGTATTTTTTCATGACGTCTTTGACGAGCCTCCTAGATGTGTGGCTGACTATGCATTCTTCTCACACCCCTGGTTTGTAAAACAAAAATCTATAAAAAGGAAAGCGTGCTTGGAGCGTATTGACATTTGTGTGTGGTTTGATTGTGTCCAGAAAAGTACCATACAATTCCCTTATTTACATTTTAGTCATTTAGCAGACACTCTTATCCAGAGCGACTTACAGTTAGTGAGTGCATACATTTTTCATACTGGTCCCCCGTGGGAATTGAACCCACAACCCTGGCGTTGCATGCGCCATGCTCTACCAACTGGGCTACACGGGACCTTATCGAATGTCTAACACTTTACCAACAGAGGAAAGAAACAGTTCACTAAACTGTTCGTTTTTATAACCAGCAGATGGCAGTATTGACTTCAGGTGCCAGCAGCAAACTCTACCAAGGTGCTCATAACAAACACACAGAAGTTTCCGGTTGTATTAGTCGTATGTACGGGATACACATGGTATACGCCATCCAACTAAATGCTTACTTGCAGGTTCTTTCTCGACAATGCAACAACAATAAGAAATAATAAAAGATAAGAATACGAACAAAGTAAATGGTTCAGTAGAAGAATACATTTTATCATAAGTATAAAACAGGAAGGCACAGTTTATAGTCCAATATTTACATGTATTTTGGGGAAGGGGGATTGGGTGGAAAGTGTTTAAATAGTGCAGTATTTAGCGATCATAATAAGAGTGGTAGACAAAGTTGTGATGTGTGTGTGAGTGCATATGTGCGGAGAGTCCGTGCAGGTGGTCAGTCCAGTTGAAGTGTTCAGCAGGTGCTAAAAGAGTGTGACTGTGTCACGGTTCTAGATGGAGGATATTCACGTCAGCCAGACACTAAACAGGAAAACACCCCTCCTACAGCTCTGTAAATGACATGCACTGTCCTTTCAGAAGAATTACCTTTACACAATACCTTCTACAACACGGTGGACATGGAACCATAGTGAGGTGCTCTTTTCACTAAAATGTCCTCTCTTTCAACAATGTGCTTGTACTTTCTTTCCATTTTTCATATAGTTGTCATTGACGTCGCAGCAACAATGTCTTGTAATGTTGTTTTCAGTGTGGCAGCAGTTGTTGAAAAGGACAATGCTCCTTTGTCTCAGTCTCTTCCTTCCCCAGTCCTTACCCACACACAGTACCTCAGTAAGCCATTAGACTTTCCTTCGTGTGATATTTCCCCTGTGTCGCTTCGGTTGTTTCCCTGAGTTGACAATAGTCTCCAGGTCCATTCACAGGTCAGTGTGTGTCTTATGTGACCACACCACAGCTCTGGGAAGGCGAGACGCCATCCACCCTTGTGAGGACGGCCATGCACTGCCAGAGTGCTGCTGACCTTTATTTGGACGCCTCTTTAAGTGTTTGTGGTTCTGCCAGTTCTGTTCCATGCCTGCACTGACCACATTCACAGCCCCTTCACTGGCTGCAATGACTCATGGTTATTTAAAATGTTCTGATTGACAGCTACCTACAGTGAGTAAAGGGCTATTTTCTGTATAACTGTGTGTCAGTGGAGGCTGCTGAGGGGGGGGACGGCTCATAATAATGTCTGGAACGGAGCATTTGATACCATTCCACTAATTCCGCTCTAGTCATTACCACTAGCCCGTCTTCCCCAATTAAGGTGCCACCAACCTCCTGTGGTGTGCATGTGTGTCCTGTCTATAGGACTGACTATGGGGAGTGTACCCTATGTTTAAAGATCATTCAAATAGGTCAAAGAGAAAAGTCTAGCTTTGAGAAGTCAAGCACTCATTCATCTGATCTGCCTTGGAGAGATAGGCAACTTTTACATCACGCTCTGCAGGAGAGGAAAATAACCCTAAACGAGGGGATTTTCTTTTAGGAATTATACATTTCTTAATCTTCCTTCCGTGGAAGACAACAGCCCCTCAACCGCTACAGTTCTCCCCCCACCTCCGCCCTACATTTCACTCACTACAGGACGAGAGGGAAGGAAAGGAGTGAGGTAAAGAAGAGGGAACAGAGAAGAGCGAGAGGAGGAATGTTGATGGGCGTCATGGAGAGTGAATACAGTAGAATAGACAGGTGAGGGGGAGCGATTACGCCTTTCATTATGAAAGTGATGGAAAGAACAGGCATGAGAGCTAAAGGAGAGGAGAGTGCAGACAGTATTCATATGGACGATGATGGAATGCTGGTTGGAGAGTGAGAAGTGGGGAGAAATAAATGGGTCGAGTAGGGAGAGAGAGGGAAGATAAGGGAAAGGAAGGAGCCAATAGCCACTGTTGTAAGATTATATCCCAGCCAACTGTATAGATCAGAGGTCAATTGTAATCAGCATAGTAGTGCAGCTGCCACAACAAACTGTAAAGAAACAGGGTGTATGGGTGTATCAAGGATAAGCCCCTTTTAAACAGATCAAGGCCAGGGATGATATTTTAAACATATTTGATTTCCAATGCCTGGTTTTAGCCTCACACACTGATGGGGCCCAGCATCATGCCCCGAAACACTTTCTCATCCTGTCCTTCAAATCCTCACTTCTCAACCTGCATTTCAGCACTAAAGCCTTCGCCTGAGATCCATGTGGTATAACACAAGCTTATTTACCCTTATGGTAATGGATAGGTAAATGTGGCCCTGCAAGATCATCCTTAGCAAGCCTTCCTATAGAGGGAGTAGCATGATTGTAACCATTTAGGGACATTTTTCCTTCCCTACAACCGCACTCACCACTTCCGTCAAATCATCTAATCAGGGCCACTTTGCTGTTCCTTGGCTCTCTCTCTCTATCTCACACACACTAAAAGGAGAGAGCATGCACTTGTCCTGGTGTGATTTTTATACAGTATGATCTCCAGACATATTTATGCGGTAAAACATTAAATGGGTTTTCTGAACAGTCAGGAAAGGAAAGCTGCTTTGACTGAACTTTGATCACATAACAGGCTTTGTTCCCTGCCCGCCCCATGGGAAATCAGGTTCAGAAAACATTACTTTCTGACTAAAAATCAAATACAGGCAGCCAACTACAGCAGCATATTTTAAATCCCAGTTAGAGAAATGAATTACTATATTTTTGGTTCAAAGGCTTAGTGTTGTGAAGGTGCTGGGAAGCATTGCGACTTCCCTTCATTTGGATGACACTGGCATGCTGAGGTGACAGTCGGTCCAACTGGACAAAAAACACCAGCATGTTTGGTTTAGCTTTTTATTCACATTTAAAAGATGCTCATTGCAGCACATTCCTCGATCAGTCTCTCAGCGAGACTTCCTGTCTCACACGGGTCACTTCCTGTTCGGCAAATAGATCTTAATACCATAGAAAACAAATCAGAAATAAACAAAAGCCTCAGTCATAGAAACAGAAAACATATTTAAAAAAGGAATATCACCATCAGGATAAGAACGGAAGGAGTGAGAAAAAAAAAAGCAGCATGTACATTTTTTAAAAACAATCTCCTGTGACAGAGGTGTCGTGTGCTTTCTCTGCGCAGGCACATAAACAGTAATAGCGGATTGGCCCTCCAATCATCCTCAATCAGCTTTAACACACACTGACTGATAACATCCCAGGGTATGTCCACAATGGCACCCTATCCCTACATAGTGCACTCCTCCTGATCAGGCTGATCAAACGCAGTGCACTCCTCCTGATCAGGCTGATCAAACGCAGTGCACTCCTTCTGATCAGGCTGATCAAACGCAGTGCACTCCTTCTGATCAGGCTGATCAAACGCAGTGCACTCCTTCTGATCAGGCTGATCAAACGTAGTGCACTCCTTCTGATCAGGCTGATCAAACGTAGTGCACTCCTTCTGATCAGGCTGATCAAACGTAGTGCACTCCTTCTGATCAGGCTGATCAAACGTAGTGCACTCCTTCTGATCAGGCTGATCAAACGTAGTGCACTCCTTCTGATCAGGCTGATCAAACGTAGTGCACTATGTAGGGAATAGGGTGCCATTTTGGACGCAGCCGCAGTCACTCACCCAGAGACATAATGGAAGCCTGGATCCAATGAAACCCACTGATAAATAAAGAGAGACTGCCAGTTGAGAGGGAGGTGTAGTGCAGCAGGAGACTAAAGAGAGATGAGGGCTGTAGTGTCGCCAAACTCAGTGGGGTTAGAGTGGGTCTGACTGATGTCTTGGGGTGCCTGTTGCGGAGCAAGGCTGACACGCACCAACCCACACATGCATAAAAACTCACACCACTCACATACACTCTGAAAACAGCCCCTCTGAGCATGAGCGAGTGTTTGCATATGCATGCATTCAAGGATGTTCGCATGCCTGTGTGTTTTCCATCCTCTAAATCCATGTGGCTAGGGGGCTGGTGAGTCTCAGTGGAGCCTGCTATAGGGTCTAAATATAAATATCTACATGTTCAGAGAGGCTTCCAGAGAGTCTGTATAGATGTACAGTAACTATGTATGGATGGCTATATGCATCATCCCAAAACGCCCTGTTCCTCCAGGACCATGTTCTAGAAGCTCCCACACTATAGACCCAACACTTCTGCTACTGTCCAGTCTCAAACCCATCTCCCTCCTTTCTGTCTGTCCATCATTCCATCATAGCAGTGAGCAAATTTAAAAAAAAACATGTTAAAAACGGACACAAATCCTAAAAGGAAACTCGGAACTCCTTCATAGGCTTCCTCCTGACCATCATCATTATCCTCAGTAGATGTCCAATGGATCAAGGTTCAATTGTTTGGGGTTGACCGTAGTGAAATGTAGCTGCCGTCAAGCAGTCATTCATTGTCCTGGTGGGTGTGTGGGGTCACTGGTACTGGAGGTAGTTCTTGAGGGTCTCTGGCAGAGGGAGGGTGTCTATCTGGTTTATTCGGTCCCGCCCCAGAGCCAGCCTGGCCACTCGCCTGCACAGGTCCATCAGGGGGAGGGGCTCCGCTGTGACAAACAGGAGAGAAGAGAGGACATTAATAACAGGGTCAAAAAAGGAATGTTTACATACATTTACAGATTTAATAGACACCATTTCAGAGGGTCTGGAAATGACTGCATTTAATATAAGTGTAGACTGAGCAATATGATATCATCCTCAGAAGGGCTTTTAAGTGCATTTGTTTGTGTCAGAGATCTTCCCACACAGAGAAACTTTGATATTGAGAGTGCCCTTCACAGACTTCCGCTTTACTGTTCCACCCGCTGTGACTATCTGTTTGTACTGGACGCACAGAGCAGACACTCACCTGAGCACCCCGGTGTGAAGGTGATGCTCAGGGGCTCACCACACACAGTCTCCCTCACTAAAGTACACACACAATTTGCTGAGTCACTGGCCACATGGCTTGGAATAGACGGGGTGGACGGTGTCAAGGGGGACCCTAGGGAATCTTCTAAATGGACTGGTGCCCTTGTAGCTATGTGACTACTAGACAACACACAGTAAGACATATAGACACACACTAACATTGGCCTCTCCTATACTATACACTAAGATGTTTCCATAGGAAGAATGTGATACCAAAGCAGGCTTGCTGGCAGGCTGGCTTGCTGGTACTTGACATGATCTATTGCACAATTTCAACATCACATAATGAATGTTCTTAAAACGAACAGAGATCCAAAATAAACTTGCAAAGTGTTGGATTGAGTCAACAACTTCCAAGAAACAGACTACAAGAAAGCATAGGCCTTAGACACACACACACAGACAAATATACACGCACTTCCAGATGTCAACTTTTAGGACACTGCCTGCCTATCTGACTCACTAACAGTCTAACCAGGTCACATGGTCACATCCTCCACCTCACTTCCTGTGCAGACAGTGATTGTGGGAGATGGATGGATGGATGGATGTAATCTCCTGCCTGCATGTTTATTCTGCTTGTCTGACTCTGTGGTTATATGTTATATGGGTGTAAGACAGTCATAGGGTGTGTGAATGTGAAAGGGGATGGGCACCACCTGGAGGATGTAAACTCTTCACTTCCTGTTAGAGAGCCTGGTTATTTTAGGTGACCTCTGAACTCAGTGGTGAAAGGTACCTGCACACACATGGTTCACACACTGGTGTGTCATTACCTAGGCTTACTAAAGCAAGATGTTCAGCTCACTGTAGCCATGTGTGTCATGAACACACACGGCAAGCCTATTAACATGGAGAGCCATAGTTGAGTCAATTGAGAGAGGAACAGTAACATAGCATGTTATTCAGTAGAATTATGGGAATTGCATAGGAGGGATGATTATGATAATTATGATGCTGCTGCTGCTTCCTGGAAACTGTCCAATCGCCCAGCTAGTGTGCCCTCTCCCTGAGTTGCTGCTGGCGACAAGTGGTCCCATCAAACAGCGGGAATCTGAGCAGGAGCCTGCTATTGTCTGCTGTCAATCAACTGTCTAGCTGAGCTATCAGACTCCACACTGCTCCGGTGAGTGTAGGTGTGTGTGTGTGTTTGCAGGTTGAGGACTGTTTGTGTGTGTGCGAGCATGGAGAAACATGTATGGTGCTCATCTCTTGGGAATCATGCTTAGTTTGAAATAGTCTTCAGAAAGAAAAAGGTGGAGAAACACAGACAACATACACTTACAGTGAGGGAAAAAAGTATTTGATCCCCTGCTGAGTTTGTACGTTTGCCCACTGACAAATAAATTATCAGTCTATAATTTTAATGGTAGGTTTATTTGAACAGTGAGAGACAGAAGAACAACAAAAAAATCCAGAAAAACGCATGTCAAAAATGTTATAAATTGATTAGCATTTTAATGAGGGAAATAAGTATTTGACCCCTCTGCAAAACATGCCTTTGTGATTGCCAACAAGGGTTTTGCCACCAAGTACTGAGGTCAGACGTTTCTTGTAGTTGGCCACCAGGTTTGCACACATCTCAGGAGGGATTTTGTCCCCCTCCTCTTTGCAGATCTTCTCTAAGTCATTAAGGTTTCGAGGCTGACGTTTGGCAACTCGAACCTTCAGCTCCTTCCACAGATTTTCTATGGGATTAAGGTCTGGAGACTGGCTAGGCCACTACAGGACCTTAATGTGCTTCTTCTTGAGCCACTCCTTTGTTGCCTTGGCCGTGTGTTTTGGGTCATTGTCATGCTGGAATACCCATCCACGACCCATTTTCAATGCCCTGGCTGAGGGAAGGAGGTTCTCACCCAAGATTTGACGGTACATGGCCCCGTCCATCGTCCCTTTGATGCAGTGAAGTTGTCCAGTCCCCTTAACAGAAAAACACCCCCAAAGCATAATGTTTCCAACTCCATGTTTGACGGTGGGGATGGTGTTCTTGGGGTCATAGGCAGCATTCCTCCTCCTCCAAACACGGCGAGTTGAGTTGATGCCAAAGAGCTTGATTTTGGTTTCATCTGACCACAACACTTTCACCCAGTTCTCCTCTGAATCATTCAGATGTTCATTGGCAAACTTCAGACGGGCATGTATATGTGCTTTCTTGAGCAGGGGGACCTTGTGGGCGCTGCAGGATTTCAGTCCTTCACGGCGTAGTGTGTTACCAATTGTTTTGAAGGGGGGGGGGGGGGAGCTGGGAGAAAGAGGGAGCAGGGAGAAAGAGGGAGCAGGGAGGGGGAGAGAAAGAGGGAGCATGGGGGGGGGGGGGAGGGAGCATGGGGGGGGGGGGAGCATGGGGGGGGGGGAGAGAGGGAGCATGGGGGGGGAAAGAGGGAGCAGGGGAGGGGGGAGAAAGAGGGAGCAGGAAGGGGGGGGGAGAGGCATTCGGGAGGGGGAAAGAAAGAGGGAGTCGGGAGAAAAGAGGGAGCAGGGAGAAAGAGGGAGCAGGGAGGGAGGGAGAAAGAGGGAGCAGGGAGGGAGGGAGAAAGAGGGAGCAGGTGGGGGGGAGAAGGGGGAGCAGGGAGGGAGGGAGAGAAAGGGGAGGGGAGAAAGGGGAGCAGTGGGGGAGGGAGAAAGAGGGAGCAGGGAGGGGGAGAGAAAGGGGGAGCAGTGGGAAAGAGGGAGCAGGGAGGGGGGGAGAAAGAGGGAGCAGGTAGGGGGAGAGAAAGAGGGAGCAGGGAGAAAGAGGGAGCAGGGGGGAGAAAGAGGGAGCAGGGAGGGAGGGAGAAAGAGGGAGCAGGGAGGGAGGGAGAAAGAGGGAGCAGGGAGGGGGGGAGAAAGGGGGAGCAGAGGGAAAGAGGGAGCAGGGAGGGGGGGAGAAAGAGGGAGCAGGGAGAAAGAGGGAGCAGGGGGGAGAAAGAGGGAGCAGGGAGGGGGAGAGAAAGAGGGAGCAGGGAGAAAGAGGGAGCAGGAGGGGGGGGGGGGGGGGGGGGGGAGCAGGGAGGGGGAGGGGGGAGAGAAAGAGTGAGAAGTGAGGGGAATTTGGGACAGCAGTGAGAAGAAAGCAGATTGTCTGACGCATCGAGGTGCAACAGGTTGGTGCCTTTCACTGACGTACACCATCCTCCAGGGTATTTCAGAGCTACTGGATGCAAGTGACCCAAAAAGAGTGTGTGTGTGTGTGTGTGTGTGTGTGTGTGTGTGTGTGTTCAAAACACAACCCAATTGTGTCATTTCAGGAGACGAGCATTAAGAAGGTACACATGACCAAAAGTATGTGGACACCTGCTCGACAAACATCTCATACCAAAATCATGAGCATTAATATGGCGTTGGTCCCCCATTTGCTGCTTTAACAGCCTCCACTCTTCTGGGAAGGCTTTCCACTAGATGTTGGAACATTGCTGCAGGGACTTGCATTAGTGAGGTTGGGCACTGATGTTGGATGATTAGGCCAGGCTTGCAGTCAGCGTTCCAATTATTTGCAAAGATGTTCGATGGGGTTGAGGTCAGGGCTCTGTGCAGGCCAGTCAAGTTAATCCACACCAATCTCGACAAACCATTTCTGTATGGACCTCGCGTTGTGCGCGGGTGCATTGTCATGCTGAAACAGCAAAGGGATTTCCCCAAACTGTTGCCACAAGCACATAATCAACTAGAATGTCATCGTATGCTGTAGCGTTAAGATTTCCATTTACTGGAACTAACCAGACCATTATTCCTCCTCCACCAAACTTTACAGTTGGCACTATGCATTGGGGCAGGTAGCTTTCTCCTGGCATCCGCCAAACCCAGACTTGTTCGTCGGGCTGCCAGATGGTGAAGCGTGATTCATCACTCCAGAGAACGCGTTTCCACTGCTCCAGAGTCCAATGGCGGCAAGCTTTTCACCACTCCAGCCGACGCTTGGCATTGCGCTTGGTGATCTTAGGTTTGTGTGCGGCTGCTCGGCCATGGAAACCCATTTCATGAAGCTCCCGACGAATAGTTATTGTGCTGATGTTGCTTCCAGAGGCAGTTTGGAACTCGGTAGTGAGTATTGCAACCGAGGACAGATTATTTTTACGCGCTACACACTTCAGCACTCGGCGGTCCCGATCTGTGAGCTTTTGTGGCCTACCACTTTGCGGCTGAGCCGTTGTTGCTCCTAGATGTTTCCGCTTCACAATAACTGCACTTACAGTTGACCGGGGCAGCTCTAGCAGGTCAGAGATTTGACAAACTCACTTGTTGGAAAGGTGGCATCCTATGACGGTGCCACGTTGAAAGTCATGGAGCTCTTCAGTACTACTGCCAATGTTTATGTATGGAGATTGCATGGCTGTGTGCTCGATTTTATACACCCGTCAGCAACGGGTGTGGCTGAAATAGCCGAATCCACTAATTTGAAGGGGTGTCCACATACATTATATTTACAGAAGTATCTTGATCCTGCTGTCCCAATTTCTTCTCCCGCTCTCTACATCTTTGTCTCGGATCAATCTCTCCCTCCATCTCTCATTTCCTCTCAGACTCACAATCAGTCTTTGCGTGCAGCCAGGAGAGATGCCAATGGACCTGATGTCAGGATATTCAGTGTGGAACATGGACTTGTTGACTCCAGACTCAGAGCTTATCTAATCAATATGGAGAACTGTGTCAGTGGAGATGGATAACATCTCAAACTGTGCACCAGTTCCAATGACCACCTCGTGATTGGGAGTGGGAGTGTGTGTGTGTGTGATGTAAATGTATAAAAATACCCACTTATTATGGCAAGAGCGTGTGTGTGTGACACAAATGTGTAAAATGACCATCTTGTGACAAGACGTGTGTGTGTCACGTCAATGTATAAAATGAGCACCTCATCCTGACAAGGAATGTATGCGTGACCGATTTTTCCAGTAAGTATGCATGGGAAAGTACGTACAACAGTGACTATGCAGTAGTGGAGCGTTTCTGAGTCTAATTCACTGACCAATCCTCAAGAGAACATCACAGGAGAGTGAGAGAAAGAGAACGAATGGAAACAGCGGTGAGAAAGAGAGAGAGAGAGAGGGAGAAAGAGTGAGAGCAAGAGGAAGGGCAAGCCTCAGCCTCTCTCAAATTGGAAATGTCAGTGTCCAAATTGAATCATTGACTTGAGCTAAATCCAATTGCTCACTGAACTAACTGACACCAGTCGTCCGTTGGCTCTTTATTACCAGACAGAACCAAATGACCCAGCCACTGATCCCCAGGCAGAACCAAATGACCCAGCCACTGATCCCCAGGCAGAACCAAATGATCCAGCCACTGATCCCCAGACAGAACCAAATGATCCAGCCACTGATCCCCAGACAGAACCAAATGACCCAGCCACTGATCCCCAGACAGAACCAAATGACCCAGCCACTGATCCCCAGACAGAACCAAATGATCCAGCCACTGATCCCCAGACAGAACCAAATGATCCAATCCCTGATCCCTAGACAGAACCAAATGATCCAATCCCTGATCCCCAGACAGAACCAAATGATCCAATCCCTGATCCCCAGACAGAACCAAATTATCCTGCCACTGATCCCCAGACAGAAGCAAATGATCCAGTCCATTTAGCCACTGATCCCCAGACAAAAGCAAATGATCCAGTCCATTTAGCCACTGATCCCCAGACAGAAGCAAATGATCCAGTCCATTTAGCCACTGATCCCCAGACAAAAGCAAATGATCCAGTCCATTTAGCCACTGATCCCCAGACAGAACCAAATGATCCAGTCCATTTAGCCACTGATCCCCAGCCAGTTGGTAGCTCAGTTGGTAGAGCATGGCGTTTGCAACGCCAGGGTTGTGGGTTCGATTCCCATGGGGGGAGTAATGTATGCACTAACTGTAAGTCGCTCTGGATAAGAACGTCTGCTAAATGACTAAAATGTAAATGTAAATGTAGAACCAAATGATCCAGTCCATTTAGCCACTGATCCCTGCAGTGCCCCTATACACTAGTCCTCAGCATAATAAAGCCTGTTATACCCTGATTACACTCACAGCCCAATCACAGACCATACTGGCACACAAACACTTTCGAAAAGTCTGTACCTAGTTATGAGCATTATGAGAATGAGAGCTATTGTCTGAGTATCTATTCAGAGACATTGAGTCAGAGATGCTCTAAAGAACTGTAACAGAAAGGGTTCATACCTCTGCAAGACATTGAGTACGGTTACAATACGATTATTGTGGATAGTCAAATTAATATAATAGTTTAAAACGTTTACATGCTTTGTAAGAAGAAAGATTTCCCTAATATTCCTGTTTACATGGACACATCTGAAATCAGGCTACGTGATGGGACTTAAATAAATGCAGTAAATCACCAATCAAAATAAACTTTCTACCACAGTGACAATGTTATTTCTGCAAAGCCTATTTGATTCCAAGTTCGGACATATAACTTTTGTATGTGAAAACTATTTCTAAGATGCATACTTTCAGTTTTTCCAAACTCACTTCACTCGCGCATAAGAGGGAGGCTTGAGCTATCTGGTGCTGGCACGTACGCAGCTCAAATACACCACTGGAACACCGATTAAGCTGTTTACATGTCCTAATAATTGCTCAGAAAACCAGGTGTTTTAATCGGCGTATGCTTACTTATGATTTTGACCTTACAGCGATTAAAATAAAAAGAGTAAGGTGTTTACATGACTATTGACATACTCTGCCTACTAACATAATCAGTTTAATATCGAATTATTAGGGTTCATGTAAACATACTCACTGTCTGTGAATCTATTCTCCACACTTTCAGGAGACACACAGCAGAGTTTCATGGCTCCAAACAAGAGGAGCCCTCCATTCCCAGCCAAGATGAACCAGCCCCAGCCAACACGCCACCCCCAGCCTAAATCTCCCTCCCCAAGCCAGCACTTACTGTACCGTCTCCTCTCCCCATTCAGCTAAACGGTTTCTACGGCAACTCTCCGCCATGATCAGAAGTGTAAATATTGAAGCAGGGATTTGAGGATAAACAAAAGAGAGTGGGAGAGAGCGAGTGAGAAAGAGCCAGCGTGAAATGGTGTGCATTTGTAACGGAGGTTTTGCAAAGTGCTCACCTCTTGTTATTCTCTTGTTTAGCTGTGAATGAGTTTGGTTGCTGGTAGCCTGCCTGTGGCTGTAGTGTTGCGTTTTGTGTTGTGCCATTTTGTTATGGGAAGAACAACAGCGCTATAAGAATATAGCTAGCAGGACAGCCTGCTCCCCACTCTCCTATTGTTTTCTATTTATAGGCTTTAGGGAGCAACAGAAACACTAAAGAAATCAATAAAGCTTCTATCAGTGTGAAAGTCATGTGGAGAAGAAACTATGTGTTCGATGAGAAAGACCGGATCAGAGAATTGCATTAACTGTGTGTAAAGGGACAATTTTGAGAGAGGGATGGAAAAGTGGAGGGACATCTATTTTCTCTCTTCACACTATTTTATTGCAAGAGAGAAAGAGAAGACTCCTTTACCACAGTGCGTCTAAAACGGAAACATGGAAAAGCTACCTTGAGGAATACGAGCCAATGCCTGGCATCTCAGAGTATGCATACTAATATATTGTCTACATTTTCCTGTGTGTTACATGGGGATGTTGCCCCATTTCCACAGCATAATTAAGCAATGAGGCCAGAGGGGGTGTGGTAAGGGCTGTTCTCAGGCACGACTCGCATATATCACAAACCCCTGAGGTGCCTTATTGCTATTATAAACTGGTTACTAAGATAAATGGAACAGCAAACAAGTATTTCTGCATCAGACCAGTGGTATATTGTCTGATATTATAATTATAATAATATGCCATTTAGCAGACGCTTTTATCCAAAGCGACTTACAGTCATGCGTGCATACATTTTTGTGTATGGGTGGTCCCGGGGATCGAACCCACTACCTTGGCGTTACAAGCGCCGTGCTCTACCAGCTGAGCTACAGAGGACCAGTCTGTGCTAGCTGTTTTGCTAACATAGACTGGAATATGTTCTGGGATTCATCCAATGGCATTGAGGAGTACACCACCTCAGTCACCGGCTTCATCAATTAGTGCATCGACGATGTCGTCCCCACAGTGACCGTACGTACATATCCCAACCAGAAGCCATAGATTACAGGCAATATCCGCACCGAACTAAAGAGCTGCCGCTTTCAAGGAGTGGGACACTAATCCGGACACTTATAAGAAATCCCGCTATGCCCTCAGACGAACCATCAAACAGGCAAAGCGTCAATACAGAACTAAGATTGAATCCTACTACACTGGCTCTGACGCTCGTCGGATATGGCAGGACTTGCAAACTATTACGGACTACAAAAGGGAAACCCAGCCACGAGCTGCCCAGTGACGTGAGCCTACCAGACGAGCTAAATGCCCTTTATGCTCGCTTCGAGGCAAGCAAAACTGAAACATGTATGAGAGCACCAGCTGTTCCGGACGACTGTGTGATCACGCTCTCCGTAGCCGATGTGAGCAAGACCTTTAAACAGGTAAATATTCACAAGGCCGCGGGGCCAGATTACCAGGACGTGTTCTCAGAGCATGCGCTGACCAACTGGCAAGTGTCTGTAATACCTACATGTTTCAAGCAGACCACCATAGTCCCTGTGCCCAAGAAAGCAAAGGTAACCTGCCTAAATGACTACCGCCCCGTAGCACTCATGTCGGTAGCCATGAAGTGCTTTGAAAGGCTGGTCATGACTCACATCAACACCATCATCCCGGAAACCCACTCCAATCCGCTTACCGCCCCAACAGATCCACGGATGACGCAATCTCAATCGCACTCCACACTGCCCTTTCCCACCTGGACAAAAGGAACACCTATGTGAGAATGCTGTTCATTGACTACAGCTCAGTGTTCAACACCATAGTACCCACAAAGCCCATCACTAAGCTAAGGACCCTGGGACTAAACACCTCCCTCTGCAAATGGATCCTGGACTTCCTGACGGTCCGCCCCCAGGTGGTAAGGGTAGGCAACAACACATCTGCCACGCTAATCCTCAACACGGGGGCCCCTCAGGTGTGCGTGCTTAGTCCCCTCCTGTACTCCCTGTTCACCCACAACTGCGTGGCCAAGCACGACTCAAACACCATCATTAAGTTTGCTGACGACACAACAGTGGTAGGCCTGATCACTGACAATGATGGGACAGCCTATAGGCAGGTCGTCAGAGACCTGGAAGTGTGGTGCCAGGATAACAACCTCTCAGTCAAGGTGTGCAATACAAAAGGAGCTGATCGTAGACTACAGGAAAAGGAGGGCCGAACACGCCCCCATTCACATCGACGGGGCTGTAGTGGAGCGGGTCGAGAGTTTCAAGTTCCTTGGTGTCCACATCACCAACAAACTATCATGGTCCAAACACACCAAGACAGTCGTGAAAAGGGCACGACAACACCTTTTCCCCCTCAGGAGATTTGGAATGGGTCCCCAGATCCACAAAAGTTTGACAGCTGCACCATTGAGAGCATCCTGACTGGTTGCATCACCGCCTGGTATGGCAACTGCTCGGCATCCGACCGTAAGGCGCTACAGAGGGTAGTGCGTACGTCCCAGTAAATCACTGGGGCCAAGCTTCCTACCATCCAGGACCTATGTACTAGGCGGTGTCAGAGAAAGGCCAACAAATTGTCAAAGACTCCAGTCACCCAAGTCTTAGACAGTTCTCTCTGCTACCGCATGGCAAGCGGTACCGGAGCACCAAGTCTAGGTCCAAAAGGCTCCTTAACAGCTTCTACCCCCAAGCCACAAGACTGGTGAACAATTAATCCAATGGCCACCCGGACTATTTACATTGACCTCCCCCCTTTGTTTTTACACTGCTGCTACTCGCTGTTTATCATCTATGCATAGTCACTTTACCCCTACCTACATGTACAAAATACCTTGACTAACCTGTACCCCCGCACATTGACTCTGTACCGTTACCACCTGTATATAGCCTCGTTATTGTTACAGTGAGGGAAAAAAGTATTTGATCCCCTGCTGATTTTGTACGTTTGCCCACTGACAAACAAATGATCAGTCTATAATTTTAATGGTAGGTTTATTTGAACAGTGAGAGACAGAAGAACAACAACAAAATCCAGAAAAACGCATGTCAAAAATTTTATCAATTGATTTGCATTTTAATGAGGGAAATAAGTATTTGACCCCTCTGCAAAACTTTACTTAGTACTTGGTGGCAAAATCCTTGTTGGCAATCAGAGGTCATACGTTTCTTGTGGTTGGCCACCAGGTTTGCACACATCTCAGGAGGGATTTTGTCCCCCTCCTCTTTGCAGATCTTCTCTAAGTCATTAAGGTTTCGAGGCTGACGTTTGGCAACTCGAACCTTCAGCTCCCTCCACAGATTTTCTATGGGATTAAGGTCTGGAGACTGGCTAGGCCACTCCAGGACCTTAATGTGCTTCTTCTTGAGCCACTCCTTTGTTGCCTTGGCCGTGTGTTTTGGGTCATTGTCATGCTGGAATACCCATCCACGACCCATTTTCAATGCCCTGGCTGAGGGAAGGAGGTTCTCACCCAAGATTAGACGGTACATGGCCCCGTCCATCGTCCCTTTGATGCGGTGAAGTTGTCCTGTCCCCTTAGCAGAAAAACACCCCAAAGCATAATGTTTCCAACTCCATGTTTGATGGTGGGGATGGTGTTCTTGGGGTCATAGGCAGCATTCCTCCTCCTCCAAACACGGCGAGTTGAGTTGATGCCAAAGAGCTCGATTTTGGTCTCATCTGACCACAACACTATCACCCAGTTCTCCTCTGAATCATTCAGATGTTCATTGGCAAACTTCAGATGGGCATGTACAGTGGGAAGAACAAGTATTTGATACACTGATGATTTTGCAGGTTTTCCTACTTACAAAGCATGTAGAGGTCTGTCATTTTTATCATAGGTACACTTCAACTGTGAGAGACGGAATCTAAAACAAAAATCCAGAAAATCACATTGTATGATTTTTAAGTAATTAATTTGCATTTTATTGCATGACATAAGTATTTGATACATCAGAAAAGCATAACTTAATATTTGGTACAGAAACCTTTGTTTGCAATTACAGAGATCATACGTTTCCTGTAGGTCTTGACCAGGTTTGCACACACTGCAGCAGGGATTTTGGCCCACTCCTCCATACAGACCTTCTCCAGATCCTTCAGGTTTCGGGGCTGTCGCTGGGCAATACGGACTTTCAGCTCCCTCCAAAAATGTTCTATTGGGTTCAGGTCTGGAGACTGGCTAGGCCACTCCAGGACATTGAGATGCTTCTTACGGAGCCTCTCCTTAGTTGCCCTGGCTGTGTGTTTCGGGTCGTTGTCATGCTGGAAGACCCAGTCACGACCCATCTTCAATGCTCTTACTGAGGGAAGGAGGTTGTTGGCCAAGATCTCGCGATACATGGCCCCATCCATCCTCCCTCAATACGGTGCAGTCATCCTGTCCCCTTTGCAGAAAAGCTTCCCTAAAGAATGAGGTTTCCACCTCCATGCTTCACGGTTGGGATGGTGTTCTTGGGGTTGTGCTCATCCTTCTTCTTCCTCCAAACACGGCGAATGGAGTTTAGACCAAAAAGCTCTATTGTCGTCTCATCAGACCACATGACCTTCTCCCATTCCTCCTTTGGATCATCCAGATGGTCATTGGCAAACTTCAGACGGGCCTGGACATGCGCTGGCTTGAGCAGGGGGGACCTTGCGTGCGCTGCAGGATTTTAATCCATGACGGCGTAGTGTGTTACTAATGGTTTTCTTTGAGACTGTGGTCCCAGCTCTCTTCAGGTCATTGACCAGGTCCTGCCGTGTAGTTCTGGGCTGATCCCTCACCTTCCTCATGATCATTGATGCCCCACGAGGTGAGATCTTGCATGGAGCCCCAGACCGAGGGTGATTGACCGTCATCTTGAACTTCTTCCATTTTCTAATAATTGCGCCAACAGTTGTTGCCTTCTCACCAAGCTGCTTGCCTATTGTCCTGTAGCCCATCCCAGGCTTGTGCAGGTCTACAATTTTATCCCTGATGTCCTTACACAGTTCTCTGGTCTTGGCCATTGTGGAGAGGTTGGAGTCTGTTTGATTGAGTGTGTGGACAGGTGTCTTTTATACAGGTAACGAGTTCAAACAGGTGCAGTTAATACAGGTAATGAGTGGAGAACAGGAGAGCTTCTTATGGAAAAACTAACAGGTCTGTGAGAGCCGGAATTCTTACTGGTTGGTAGGTGATCAAATACTTATGTCATGCAATAAAATGCTAATTACTTTAAAATCATACAATGTGATTTTCTGGATTTTTGTTTTAGATTCCGTCTCTCACAGATGAAGTGTACCTATGATACAAAGTACAGACCTCTACATGCTTTGTAAGTAGGAAAACCTGCAAAATCGGCAGTGTATCAAATACTTGTTCTCCCCACTGTATATGTGCTTTCTTGAGCAGGGGGACCTTGCGGGCGCTGCAGGATTTCAGTCCTTCACGGTGTAGTGTGTTACCAATTGTTTTCTTGGTGACTATGGTCCCAGCTGCCTTGAGATCATTGACAAGATCCCCCCGTGTAGTTCTGGGCTGATTCCTCACCGTTCTCATGATCATTGCAACTCCACGAGGTGACATTTTGCATGGAGCCCCAGGCTGAGGGAGATTGACAGTTCTTTTGTGTTTCTTCCATTTGCGAATAATCACACCAACTGTTGTCACCTTCTCACCAAGCTGCTTGGCGATGGTCTTGTAGCCCATTCCAGCCTTGTGTAGGTCTACAATCTTTCCCTGACATCCTTGGAGAGGTCTTTGGTCTTGGCCATGGTGGAGAGTTTGGAATCTGATTGATTGATTGCTTCTGTGGACAGGTGTCTTTTATACAGGTAACAAGCTGAGATTAGGAGCACTCCCTTTAAGAGTGTGCTCCTAATCTCAGCTCGTTACCTGTATAAAAAGACACCTGGGAGCCAGAAATCTTTCTGATTGAGAGGGGGTCAAATACTTATTTCCCTCATTCAAATGCCAATCGATTTATAACATTTTTGACATGCGTTGTTTTGTTGTTCTTCTGTCTCTCACTGTTCAAATAAACCTACCATTAAAATTATAGACTGATCATTTGTTTGTCAGTGGGCAAACGTACAAAATCAGCAGGGGATCAAATACTTTTTTCCCTCACTATGTAATTTTATTGTGTTACTTTTTATTTTATACTTTATTTAGTAAATATTTTCTTCACACTACTTCTTGAACTGCATTGTTGCTTTCCTCTGGAGCATTCCAGCAAAATGAATAAATACTCTAACATCACTGCAGAGAGCAGAGGACACACACAGGATCCCTACATAATATTTATAGAAGGCTAACATAATGAGGCTACAGAGTTGTGACAAAGAGCAGGGACATGGGGTGGATAGAGTTATGCCTCATAAGCTGCTTCCATTAGCTTCTCTTACATTATAAAACTACATTCCCTTAACTTTCCTCTAGCTTCATTTAGTTTGGAAAACACAGCGGAGGGGAGAGAGGGAGAGAGAGCGCTAGAGAAATAGAGGGATATTGTAGGGGAAATTGAGAGAGAGAAAAAGGTTAGAGAGAAATAGAAGGGGAGACAGAGACACAACCCCATGCCTTATAATAAACCAACACTAGAACCCCTCCTTTGTCCTCTTGAAAGTAAACCATAATAGGCCTTGTGTTCCAATGGGCCATAGATAAATGCATTAATGTCACATGTTCCACACAAATAGCCCAGTGTGTTGGTCTGTGAGATTGAGACAACAAGAAAACCATGCAACAGAGGGTGACTGTATGGGGCACAATAAACACACACACACACACCTCCCTTCGCAAGGCGAGACGTTGAGCTCAGAGGCACACTGGGACTGCCTCCAGAATTCCTCCACTCCTGGCTGCCTTCCGTGAACTCACACACAAACACCTGGCTTGCAGCCATGAAAATGTAGTTAATGTCTGACCGTCTAAATGCCCTCGCCCTGCTTTGGGCAGTGGGGGAGGGTGATAGTGTTACACAATCCAAAGGGACAGAACGGTCCTAGATGACTCCCACAGTAGGTGATATTCATATCATCTGCTAAACTTACAGAGGAGAGCGCTTAGGCTGCTTCCTATGGGTAAACACAGGTCTTTTTATAGATCAGAGCAGGGCCGAGAAACACACACCAGAAGGCCCTCCCACTTTCTCTCCACAGTAGCGGAGCCAGTCATTCCACACAGTACTGTACACAGTCAACCCAGCCAGTCTGCAGTATAAAACACTATCTATCAGCCAGTCTCTCTGTACTGACATGCCACTGATTAGTGTATTGGAGGCTGTAGATTGACAACACATGCGCCGAATATAACAGGCGTAGACCACACACACACAATGGAAAGGCCTGTGTGTGTTCTTAACCAACAATGCAGTTTTAAAGAAAGAATACACTAACAAAAAAGAAATAAAGAGCAGAGACCAGAGTGCAAACTCTCCTGGAGAGCTGCGGTGTATTCTAGCTCCTGCTCTAACACAGCTAACACAGCTAATCTGGGCCCTGATGAGCAGCTGATTGGTAGAATCTCAGTAACCAGTAGGTCTGCAGGAGGAGGGTAGGCCACCACTGGTATACAGCATCTCCAGTCATGCTCTGACTGTCACTACTACAGTATTCTTCAGACACAGAGTCTCTGGCACTAACCTAGTGAGGAAACAGTCCCTTATGCTCTTTCTGTCTCAACACACAGCCCCATCGTCTCAAGTCCATTATGTCCAAAATCCATGACTGACTGACAGACACATACAGTACCATTCAGAAGTTTGGACACACCTACTCATTCAAGGGTTTTTCTTTATTTTGACTATTTTCTACATTGTAGAATAATAGTGAAGACATTAAAATTATTAAATAACACATATGGAATCATGTAGTAACCAAAAAATATTCTTCAAATAGCCACCCCTTGCCTTGATGACAGCTTTGCACACTCTTGGCATTCTCTCAACCAGCTTCACCTGAAATGCTTTTCCAACAGTCTTGAAGGAGTTCCCACATATGCTGAGCACTTGTTGGCTGCTTTTCCGGTCCGACTCATCCCAAACCATCTCAATTGGGTTGAGATCGGGGGATTGTGGAGGCCAGGTCATCTGATGCAGCACTCCATCACTCTCCTTCTTGGTAAAATAGCCCTTACACAGCCTGGAGGTGTGTTGGGTCATTGTCCTGTTGAAAAACATATTATAGTCCCACTAAGCCCAAACCAGATGGGATGGCGTATCGCTGCAGAATGCTGTGGTAGCCATGCTGGTTAAGTGTGCCTTGAATTCTAAACAAATCACAGACAGTGTCAGCAGCAAAGCACCCCACACCATAACGCCTCCCCCTCCATGCTTTACGGTGGGAACTACACATGCGGAGATCATCCGTTCACCCACACCGCATCTCACAAAGACACACGGTTGGAACCAAAAATCTCAAATTTGGACTCCAGACCAAAGGACTAATTTCCACCAGTCTAATGTCCATTGCTCGTGTTTCTTGGCCCAACCAAGTCTCTTCTTCTTTTTGGTGTCCTTTAGCAGTGGTTTCTTTGTAGCAGTTCGACTATGAAGGCCTGATTCGCACAGTCTCCTCTGAACAGTTGATGTTGAGATGTGTCTGTTACTTGAACTCTGTGAAGCATTTATTTGGGCTGCAATTTCTGAGGCTGGTAACTAATTAACTTATCCTCTGCAGCAGAGGTAACTCTGGGTCTTCCATTCCTGTGGCGGTCCTCATGAAAGCCAATTTCATCATAGCGCTTGATGGATTTTGCGACTGCACTTTAAAGAAACTTAAAAGTTCTTGAAATTTTCCGGATTGACTGACCTTCATGTCTTAAAGTAATGATGGACTGTCGTTTCTCTTTGCTTATTTCAGCTGTTCTTGCCATAATATGGACTTGGTCTTTTACCAAATAGGGCAATTTTCTGTATACCCCCCTACCTTGTCACAACACAACTGATTGGCTCAAACGCATTAAGAAGGAAATAAATTCCACAAATTAACTTTTAGGAAGGCACACCTGTTAATTGAAATGCATTCCAGGTGACTACCCCATGAAGCTGGTTGAGAGAATGCGAAGAGTGTGCAAAGCTGTCATCAAGGCAAAGGGTGGCTACTTTGAAGAATCTAAAATATATTTTGATTTGTTTAACACTTTTTTGGTTCCTACATAGTTTTGATGTCTTCACTATTATTCTACAATGTAAAAAATAGTAAAAATAAAGAAAAACACTTGAATGAGTAGGTGTGTCCAAAATTTTGACTGGTAGTGTAGATGACTAAATCCAACATGTATTTCTCCTTCAACCTTTTTGAGCAGTTTTCTGCAGTGGTTAGCTTCAAGGCGGACTATTCTGGCCTGATGTGCAGTGTGCTTTTCTGGCACCTTCGCGGCTTCACCCTGATGTGCAGTGTGCTTTTCTGGCACCTTCGCGGCTTCACCCAGGTGGGTGCTACACATCGGCGGGGGGGGGGGGCTCTACCCATGGAGTCTGACTTCAGAGAGTACTACTGAGAGGTGCTGCTTCAGCGCTGGCAAGGGCGCCCTGATGAACGGCTCTGGACCAGTCTGAAACCGCTTGGATGTGACCCCCTCCGTTTCATCTCCGAACTGCCTCTACTCTAGCCTTCCTCCTGGCGCTGACTGCTGAAGCCATTAACTAACTACCATGACCTACTGTTTTACAAAATTGCATGTTTTTTTCATTGCTTAAAGCGCTTTGAGATTGTAATGAAAAGCTCTATAAGTTTAATTTATTATTAAACTTCATCCCTTGCCCTCTTAATCACTATCCCCTCTCCGTCTCTCACTCCCTCCTTTCCCCCCCATTCTATTTTCTTCCTCCATCTCTCCATCCCTCCATCTCTCCCCCCGGTCATATTCATGTGCTCTGCGCGGGTCGATTCAGCAGAAATTTCCCCCGGCCCAGAGAGGCTGCCTCAGCATTTCTAAAATAAGCCCAAGCTGCTGTCCCCGGCTCCAAACACAATATCATTGTGCTGTTCAACATTTCCTACAGACACATCCCTCGTCCCGCCTGCCTCCCCTCATCTACATAGTAACAATGCAAAGTGAGCGCTCCGACTCAGTTTCACATTCAGAGAGATGGAGAGAAGATGGATGTATGAGTCACTGGGTTTTGACATTGTGCTTTACTGTTTTCTAAACAAGAGCCAGAGAGAAAGTAAAGTGAGCACCATCAAGGTATAATGCAGCATTGACTTGCTGATATTATAGTTGCTTTGAGATACAGTATTAGAGAATACATAGCCTTGTCAGAGTATGCTATGCTGTATGCTGACTGTGGTATGCAAAACCACAGCACAGACTACAGCAAATCCCACAATATAACGTAGACAGAACAAACAGAAGGCAAAACAGCCAGAGAGCGAGAGAGAGGTTCCCCACTGTCAAGGCATAAGGACATAGACTTACGATCCAGTCCATTGACGTAGCGGACGGAGACCTCACAGTGTCCCCACACGGCGCTGACGATGGGGTACAGCCTCTTGCCCTTTAACCCTCTGAAGGCCACGCCCAGGTACTGGCCGTCCACCATGAAGCTGAGCGTGCCCTCGTCCATGTCCAGCACCACCAGCAGGGCATCAGGCAGAACAAACGACTCGTCTGCCTCCAGGAAACATGGGTACGTTGGTGCCAAGGTGGAGGCCGGCCGGTTCTTACTGTCGTGGTAGAGTCTGTTCCGGCCCAAGTCCCAGCCCCATGACTCACAGTCAGAACCCACCAGGGCTGTGTATCCCACAGAGTGTAGAAGAGCGTTAGCGGTGCCCACCCCTACGACAGCATGTGTTCCTCGTTGTCTCGCCGGCCAGTGGATCCGCCAGACATGGAGCCCCCGTGTGTAGCCCACCCGCCCGCGGATGCAGTCGGTGCTCTGGGCCACCGGGTGGCGGTGGAAGGTCAGCTTGTCGTCCTCCTTGACAAAGACGTTGAGCGAGCGGTCTTCGGGGTTCCAGGCGTGGTGGATCTGCAGGTCAGAGGTCACAGGGGGCATGTCCAGAAGCAGGTCCAGACGAGGAGGCCGGCAGAAGTCTGGACCCCGCAGCTCACGGCGGACCGGACGGTATGAGGGCTCGCCCCTTGCGTCCACTGACTTGATGCTGCCTGAGATCTTCTGACCCATCGCTAGAGAGGGGGATGGAGGGAGAGGGGGATGGGGGCAGAGGGCGGAGCGAGGGTGGTATGGGGCTTCCCGCCGTTACCTCATGGGCGCTGTGGCCAGAAGGGCAGTCGTCCCAGGCTGAGAGACGCTCTCACAGAGACACTCAGTCCACTGTCAGAGGAACCTCGCTCCTAGAGGAGAGACACAGAGAGAGGAAAACATTACTTGACTTTATCATGACATAACATATTCTCACTTTCCCAAACTCATGTTACACACAGTGGCTGTGGGAAGACAATACAAAAATAAAAAAAATACCCTTTTTCTTACATATCGAAATTCAACTCTCAAACAGACAGGCTAATGCAGCTGCACAAGGCTTCCTTCACCCAAAATAAAACCACAGTGCGTCAAAAGAGTAGAGAGAGGGGGAGGGGAGGAAGCACACGAGAGAAAGAAAGATGTACCAGTCTGAAACAGCCTCAGGCTGCTCTGTGGTTCCTAACAGCACTCTAGAAAAAAAGGGGGAACATCTGAGCAACAAAAAGGGAGGATGAACTTTTCTTCTCTTCCACTGATGCACTCAGACATTCCTCTTCTACCTCCTCAGTTACCAGCTTCACACTCCAAGGGCACCACCGCTACAGATACTCTGTGTGTGTGTCAGTGTCAAACCAGACATGATGAACTTTCACAAACTACGCACCAAACAAGGGAGACTGCACCACCACTCCAGAAATGTAGTCACTCAGTCTCAACCACACATCTACACACTCACCAGATACTGAACAGAGAGGACCATACATTGTATAACGAAACACACCATGACAAATGTGGGGTCACTCACATGCACATACACAATGAAAAGGTCTGTGTGTGTTCTTAAAAAGGAAGGATATTCTAGACGGAACTCTAACATTCCTCTGGGTGATACAGAATTTATGAGGGCTCTTTTAGAAGGAGTGGAGACAAAACAAGACCAAAAAGATTTGAGAAATCATTCCACAACAAAGACATCAAAACAGTAAGTTACCATTACACAGATTTTACATGACTATCTCTGGCACAGTCATCCTGCCACTACATTTCCCATAAACCCACTGACTTTCATCTGCATCCCTGTTTCCCAGCTGTTCCAAATTTCCTGTTTCAAAAACACTCCCACTCTGCTTCCAGAGAGAGACCCACTCTGCTTCGAGAGAGAGAGAGAGAGAGACCCACTCTGCTTCGAGAGAGAGAGAGACCCACTCTGCTGAGAGAGAGAGAGAGACCCACTCTGCTGAGAGAGAGAGAGAGAGAGAGAGAGAGAGAGAGAGAGACCCACTCTGCTTCGAGAGAGAGAGACCCACTCTGCTTCGAGAGAGAGACCCACTCTGCTTCGAGAGAGAGACCCACTCTGCTTCGAGAGAGAGACCCACTCTGCTTCGAGAGAGAGACCCACTCTGCTTCGAGAGAGAGACCCACTCTGCTTCGAGAGAGAGACCCACTCTGCTTCGAGAGAGAGACCCATCTGCTTCGAGAGAGAGACCCACTCTGCTTCGAGAGAGAGACCACTCTTCGAGAGAGAGACCCACTCTGCTTCGAGAGAGAGACCCACTCTGCTTCGAGAGAGAGACCCACTCTGCTTCGAGAGAGAGACCCACTCTGCTTCGAGAGAGAGACCCACTCTGCTTCGAGAGAGAGAGACCCACTCTGCTTCGAGAGAGAGAACCCACTCTGCTTCGAGAGAAGAGAGACCCACTCTGCTTCGAGAGAGAGAGGACCCACTCTGCTTCGAGAGAGAGAGAGACCCACTCTGCTTCGAGGAGGAGAGAGACCCACTCTGCTTCGAGAGGAGAGGAGACCCACTCTGCTTCGAGAGAGAGAGAGACCCACTCTGCTTCGGAGAGAGAGAGAGAGACCCACTCTGCTTCGAGAGAGAGAGCGAGAGAGACCCACTCTGCTTCGAGAGAGGGGAGAGAGACCCACTCTGCTTCGAGAGAGAGACAGGAGAGAGAGACCCACTCTGCTTCGAGAGAGAGAGAGAGACCCACTCTGCTTCGAAGAGGAGAGAGAGAGAGACCCACTCTGCTTCGAGAGAGAGGAGAGAGAGACCCACTCTGCTTCGAGAGAGGAGACAGGAGAGAGGACCCACTCTGCTTCGAGAGAGAGAGAGAGAGACCCACTCTGCTTCGGGAAGAGAGAAGACCCACTCTGCTCGAGAGGAGAGACCCACTCTGCTTCGAGAGAGAGAGAGAGAGAGACCCACTCTGCTTCGAGGAGAGAGAGAGACCCACTCTGCTTCGAGAGAGAGAACCCACTCTGCTTCAGAGAGAGAGAGACCCACTCTGCTTCGAGAGAGAGAGAGAGAGACCCACTCTGCTTCGAGAGAGAGAGAAGAGAGAGAGAGACCCACTCTGCTTCGAGAGAGAGAGAGAAGACCCACTCTGCTTAGGAGAGGAGAGAGACCCACTCTGCTTCGAGAGAGAGAGAGAGACCCACTCTGCTTCGAGAGAGAGAGAGGAGGACCCACTCTGCTTCGAGAGAGAGAGAGAGAGGAGGAGGACCCACTCTGCTTCGAGAGAGAGAGGGGGAGGAGACCCACTCTGCTTCGAGAGAGAGAGAGAGAGAGACCCACTCTGCTTCGAGAGAGAGAGAGAGACCCACTCTGCTTCGAGAGAGGAGAGAGACCCACTCTGCTTCGAGAGAGAGAGAGAGACCCACTCTGCTTCGAGAGAGAGAGAGAGAGAGAGGAGACCCACTCTGCTTCGAGAGAGAGAGAGAACCCACTCTGCTTCGAGAGAGAGGAGACCACTTGCTCGAGAGAGAGAGGAGGAGACCACTCTGCTCGAGAGAGAGAGACCCACTCTGCTTCGAAAAGAGAGAGAGAGAGACCCACTCTGCTTCGAGAGAGAGAGGAGACCACTCTGCTTCGAGAGAGAGAGAGGACCCACTCTGCTCGAGAGAGAGAGAGACCCACTCTGCTTCGAGAGGAGAGAGGAGAGAGACCCACTCTGCTTCGAGAGAGAGAGAGAGAGACCCACTCTGCTTCGAGGAGAGAGAGAGACCCATCTGCTTCGAGAGAGAGAGAGAGGACCCACTCTGCTTCGAGGAGAGGAGACCACTGTTGAGAGAGAGAGAGAGACCCACTCTGCTTCGAGAGAGAAGAGAGAGAGACCCACTCTGCTTCGAGAGAGAGAGAGAGACCCACTCTGCTTCGAGAGAGAGAGAGAGAGACCCACTCTGCTTCGGAGAGAGAGAGAGAGACCCACTCTGCTTCGAGAGAGAGAGAGAGAGAGAGACCCACTCTGCTTCAGAGAGAGAGAGAGAGAGAGAGACCCACTCTGCTTCGAGAGAGAGAGAGACCACTCTGCTCGAAGAGAGAGAGAAGAACCACTCTGCTTCGAGGAGAGAGAGAGACCCACTCTGCTTCGAGAGAGAGAGAGAGAGACCCACTCTGCTTCGAGAAGAGAGAGAGAGACCCACTCTGCTTCAAGAGGACATGCAGAGAGAGAGAGAGAGACCCACTCTGCTTCGAGAGAGAGAGAGAGAGACCCACTCTGCTTCGAGAGAGAGAGAGAGAGACCCACTCTGCTTCGAGAGAGAGAGGAGAGAGACCACTTGTCGAGAGAGAGAGAGAGACCCACTCTGCTTCGAGAGAGAGAGAGAGACGACCACTCTGCTTCGGAGAGAGAGACAGGAGAGAGAGACCCACCTGCTTCGAGAGAGAGAGAGAGACCCACTCTGCTTCGAGAGAGAGAGAGAGGAGAGACCCACTCTGCTTCGAGGAGGAGAAGAGAGAACCCACTCTGCTTCGAGAGAGAGAGAGAGAGACCCACTCTGTTCGGAGGAGAGAGAGAGAGACCACTCCCGAGAGAGAAGAACCATCTGCTTCGAGAAAGAGAGAGACCACTCTGTTGAGAGAGGGGAGGAGGAGAGACCCATTGCTTCGAAAAGAGAGAGACCACTTGTTGAGAGGAGAGAGAGAGACCCTTGCTGAGAGAAAAGAGGACACTCTGTGAGAGAGAGAGAGACCACTCTGCTCGAGAGAAGAGAGAGACCACTCGCTTGAGAGAAGAGAAGACCACTCTGCTTCGGAGAGAGAGAACCACTTGCTGAGAGAGAGAGACCATCTGCTTGAGAAAGAGAGAGGACACTTGTCGAGGAGGACATGCTAGGGACATCGCTGAAAGAGACTGAGAAGAGAGACCTTGTGGAATGGAGGCTTGCCGAGAGAGAGACATGTAGAAAGGCCCACTCTTCAAGAGAGGACCATCTGCTTCGAGAGAAGAGAGACCTCTGTTGAGAGGAGAACCCCTTGTTGAGAGAAAGGAACTCGTCAAGAGGCCACTCTGTCGAAGAGAGGAGAAAGAGAGGATGGGAAGAGAGGCACGAGAGAAGAACTTGACGATGGAGCGTAAGAGGTCATTAAAACAAGAGGGGAGAGGGAGTAGTTAGGAATGGTACGAACACTGCACCTCCCTGAGAGAGCAGAGCTGCTGCTGGGACACAATGGAGGGAAGAGGTCACACTCTGAACCCAAACACCAGGGGGAGAGAAAGAGAGGTGTTGAGGCAGAGGAGGCTAGCCAGCTCCAGATTTAATAACCACATAACACAAACACTGACAAACTGTCTGTGGGAAGCAGTACGTACGTGCCAGTGTGTGTGTTTCAAACCTAATTTACATTGCGCTGTCTCTATACAAATAAAAGCTACATCTCCCATTTACATATTCATTAATTTATAAGTCCAATGACTCATGGTGCCATTTGTGCTGGAATGAAGGGTGCTATTTATCACAACACATAATGTAATGAGGCCCACTGAGACTTACTGATTACAGTGCTACTCCATCAGATAGTCACTACGCGTCTGTCTGTCTGTGTTGTTTTATGACATGCAGACACATGCTGACGGAGATAGCCCTTTTGTAATAAGTGGTTTGTCTCGTCTGAGGGAAGCTACTCATCATCTTATGACCCCTGGGGGGAAACACCAGGACAGACAATTAGATGACAAACTAGAGAGGGAAGAAAGAGAAATCAATGGTGCATAATGGCGTGGCAATGAATGGAAAAGGAGTGACATTTACTGTCCTGTTGATCTGAACTTAATTACCCAGATGTCTGCAGTCACATGTCAATAGCATTAGCAACGCACGTGCACACACTTCTGAGCCTATGTGCCATTGGTGTGTGTGAGTCGGTCTCTCCATCCTGTGAGTGAAGTACAATCTCTCTGTATGTGTGTTGTGAGTGTTCTCTTGACCCCTGTGGCCAGTGTGTGAATGCACACACACAAAACCATCTGGTGTTTATACTAATCAGGGCCTCTGTCCTCTTCAATATAGTTTGAGCTGTGGAGGAGAGGAAATGTGGGCGGGAGAGACGACAGGATAGGAGATGGGTGGAGTAGAGGTAATGATGAGGGGAGGAGTGGAGAGGACAAGAGGATGTGTATAGGTGAGGAGGGGAGAAAGAGAGAGGGATGATAGGAGGGGAGATTGGTGGTAGAGAGTGAAAGAGGGATGAGGAGTGTTAAAAGAAGAGGGAGAGCGAGCCCGCAAGAGAGGAGATGGGTGTAAGGGAGGAGATGGGTGTAAGGGAGGAGATGGGTGTAAGGGAGGAGATGGGTGTAAGGGAGGAGATGGGTGTAAGGGAGGAGATGGGTGTAAGGGAGGAGATGGGTGTAAGGGAGGAGATGGATGTAAGAGAGGAGATGGGTGTAAGGGAGCGCACACACCGCAACAAACGTCAATCTGCCGTTCATCTGCCGTTCGTTCAACATTCGTTTTAGGGACCACCCACGGGTGGGCGTCTGACTGACAAAATTATTGTGCGATTCTTGCCGGCCCGAGGTGCTAAGTACTCTCGGGCCGGAAAACGCTACCGGTGTGTCCATGCCTTAAGGGAGGAAATCTGGAGTGATGAAAAGAGGGGAGAGGAAAGGAGGGAGATTACAGGAAGGGGGAAGAGATGGGTAAAAGAGGAAGGGATGAAGAGCAAAGTAGAGAAAGCAGAGGAATAAGAACATCACTAGTTATTCTGGTACCTCTCCTCTGTTAGTATAGGTGAGAGGAGCTGGCATGTAGACGGCCACTGCTAGCTGGCTGGCGTTGGCAGTGTCGTTATTACCATATCAAATACAGAGACTGGCCGGACAATACAAGGCCACACAGATAGACTCATACGTGCCTTACAGATGCATTATAGCAGACAAGATCAAAGGAGTGACAGTAGCTTTGAACTGACACACACACAGACAAACGGACATGCAGTTTTCCACATGCACACAGTCTGAGTTATAGAGCTAATAAATAGCAGATTCTCTGATTCTAAGTGGATTTTAAAACAGTGCATGTCTTCGCTAGCAACCCTTTGTTTCCATACATCCTATCCTCCCTGTCCCCTTATCGCACCTCTCAGCCACATGCTATCCCTTATCGCTAAGATTGTCCCTCTCTCCCTCTATCCCTTGTTCCTCCCCTCCATCTCATGTGCTTTGTGGAGCACTAGATGTCCCTCGCACAGTCCTAACTCATTGTAAATGGATTCCCATTACATTGTGTTGTTGTCAGTGTCGTGGGCCATTGGCTGGCCAGGGGATCAATCCAACTCCACTGGAGTTCAACCTCTCTAGAAATGACTATTGAGCAGAGGGGGAAAACATCACAATGATATGTGGGCGTATTGGAAGATTAGGGGTAACACTTATGTGAGATTCTGAGAATAACTCCATTGATACACAAAACGTGGGCGGAGTCAGCTATTTCAGTGATCCAGTCCATCTGAGCCAGGGCTAGTTCACACATACAGAGGTGTGAATGAACTGTGTTAGTGATAGGGTGAGCACATCACTAGTCGTACACACTCTACCTAACACAAATATGACTTGCTCTAACAGTAACTTAAATACAACACTGAGGGATTTACTGTGAGACTGAATAATAGTACACTACCGTAGTGCAAGTATGACAACAAACCACAGGATACTGTTACAGTGAGAGAGCCAAGGTGAAATCCAATACTTTAAGACTTTGAGCACAACATCCTGATAGTGAGTATGCTTTACTGCTTACTGTTAAAAGCAGAGCACATCGTCTCACAGGACAGAAGACAGTCACTCTCCTACTCTCCAGACTTGTGTAACTCAAACCTAGAGGAAGTGGCTTCTCTCTCTCTGTTAGCCAAACAGCTGTGGAATGCTAGAATACCACACAGCTCCCTTAATTGTATATTTCCTACACTGAGTCCCTATAGCACGCCAGAACGACGTAGCTTGAACACAACTGTACCACACACCCACACGAGAGAGAGAGACAGACAGAGCGAGAGTGCACGTGACAGAGAGAGCGAGAGAACATGGAAAAAGAAACAGACAGACTTCTTACCATGCGAAGCGATATCCAAAGTCAAGCTGGTCTCAGCATTTAACTTTCTCACAACTCAATGCAACATGTACGCAAACAGAGGAGAGAGGTAATCTCTGACTATTCCTAAAAGCCTTGTTTAACTGTGGTCAGAACACTGTGGATTGAGAGAGAAAGACAGAAAAAAAGAATGTGTGTGAGTGACAGGAAAACAGTCGCTGGAAGGAGAGAGGGAGGGAAAGAAAGAGGGAATGAACGAGGGAGAGAGAGAGGGAGGTGGCTAAGCACAGGGCCACAGAAAGTATTTCCCAACTATTACAAAACAACCCAGTCGCTCTCTCGCTCTGTGCTTCAAGTGGAGCGAGGGAACAAAGAAAAAGAGCAGGAAAGAGAACAAAGAGAGACTGGTAAACAGTCCCTCACTGACTAAGTGACTGATACAATAGGCTAGTCCTGAGGACAAAAAAAACTGCAGCTGAGAGGAAAGTGAATAGGGAGTAGAGAATCAGAGCTGTTGTTGTTATTGGGTAGAAGTTCTGTGGACATGCCACTGACCAAACCTTCTAGAACTCAGAGCTGAAAGCCACCCTGCCTGGAATGTACTTTGCTAGTTGCTGCGGAGGCAGCCTCATCATGAGTGAGGGAAAGAGAGAGAATGCTCTGTAGTGTTACTTCAGTAGGATACTGAATAGAGGGAAACTGAGGGAGAAAGAGAGGAGGAGGGAGGGCAGAATGGTGGGAGAGCTGTATCATGTTACTCCTCCTCTCACACAGGTCACCTTACAAGTATGGAGATAACATGACATACTTGTTCATGTCAACATTTCAGCCCTCTCGTCTAACCTTCACTGTTCAGCTTTGAAACCATGCCCGCCTCTTCTCTACACTTCCAGCCCCCTTTCCCTCTCATGTTTCTCCCCTGAGAGACAAGAAAGCCCTCCCACCATCTCTGCTCCCACACACACACACACTTCAGATGGGCATTCCTCTCACCATGCCCTTTCCTCAATCTGGAGGGGCTTAATCACACAAGCTGTAGAGTCCAGTCAAGTCTCTACACCACACACAGATTCTACGACCACCTGCTAATACATTGGAATGCATACGGTGTAAAAAGCATTTGCGTATGAGAGAACACATTAGGTCACTATAACCTGATGTTTCTGCTCCATGCTTTGTTTTGACGTGGGCTCCTGTTGAGTGACAGCAGCACTGCGTGTGTGACCTCTGTGTGAGACAAAAGACCTCCCCTCGTCCGAGCAGAGCAGGCCCGAGAGGCCAGCATCGAGCACAGGCTGGAAACCCTTTCAACCCCACTGCCACTGTGTGTCTACATTCCAGTCAATTTCAACCCTCATCACACAACGTTGCCAAAATACACACACAGTTAACAATGCATGAGTCAGTCAACTAGCTAGTTACAACCTTTGCCTCACAACTCTGTCAAAAACACAGTGCCACACAGAGAAGGCAGCATGAATCGCTGAAATGAAGAGGGAGCGGGAGAGAAAGACAGAAGAGAGAAGTGAAAGACAGAAGAGAGAAGTTTTACTACAGGAGGTTCCATTGACTCCACCACCAGGAAGCCAGTAGAAAAGGAGAGAGAGAAGAAAGGGATGGCTAAAGAGGAGGAAGCCAGTGTTGGGGAGAGGGGAAAAGGTTGGGAGATGAAGAGCAGTCAAAGAACAACAGAACACGTGTTGCAGAGGAAGAAAAGAGAAGGACAAATGGTAGAAACAGATTACAAATCAGACTGTGAGTGCGTGCACACTACATCAAAAACCTTGAAACAGAAAAACCTTGCAGGATGCTAGCTATAAAAAATAGTTTCTCCTTCACAACCCCTCATCACAAACAGCCATCTTGAAAGACTAGTGCTACTTTTATCTCCTCTTAAAACAGACCGACGGACAGTGAAGATGAATCACTTTATGACAAACATCAAAGGGGTTTGGCAAGCCATGGTTGGTAAATGAGCGGCCATTTGTCCAAATCACCTCCTGTCTCATATACAAAGGAGACTCAAGAGCACATTATCACCCCCTAACCCACTGCTTCTTCTGTAATCCAGCTGCTCCAGATATGCACCCAGCCAAGAGCAGAATGGCCTATACACTATAGAGCTGGATTACAGAAGAGCTGGCATCATACCCTAGCATTGCTCTGGGGTTCAGTAGGTGCATTGCCACTAGTTGGATCCAGATAGTGAAGTATTTGAGATCTGGCCCCAGTACAGACATAAAGCCACTCGTTCAAAGTCCAGTCAGACTTGGCAGGAGTCGTTTTACTGGAAGCACAAGGTGTATTCTGGAGGCTTAATCCACTGGGTTGAGTACACACACTCACAACACACACACAACCACCCAGCCAGAAGACACATTCTGACAGGAGCTATTCATGGAGGTCAGTCAAGGTGAAAGGTCAGCAGGGCCTGTTATGTTATTGGTGTTACTTTTTATTTAATTTTGTTTGTTTAGTAAATATTTTCTTAACTCTATTTCTTGAACTGCATTGTTGGTTAAGGGCTTGTAAGTAAGCATTTCACAGTAAGTTCTACACCGGTTGTATTCGGCGCATGTGACAAATACAATTTGATGACTCCTCTTTCACAACTCCTTCTCTATTCCTTCTCTCATACTCTTTCTTTGTACACCCATAAAATCCCTGAGCTACAGTTCTGTTGCCTGCCTTGCCAGAGCCCAAAATCCCTCCCATCAACCAACAGTTAGGCAAATCAATGGATAAATTACAGACAATGATATCATCACATCACACAACAGCACCATACAGGCAACAAGCCCAGAAAAACTGGTTTGGGTAGCGCCTGGGAACCAACTGTGGCATGTTGATGCTACACATGGGTAGAACTAGTGTATGAAGCCAGAACCTCCTATATAATTTATAAAGGTCTTGGGTTACATGGATAAATCATGCTCTAGAATGCAATCCATAATGAGGTGATGTGGGTTAGGGACTGTATTGTCACTGTGGTACTAGCATCATACACACAGTAGGTTAAAACCCAAGTAAGTCTCTCCATGTCCACAGAATATTTCAGCTGATTGGGCTAGGCCCTGTTCAAATATTAATAGGTACCCAGGATGAAGGCGGAGGGCTCTGGTTACCTGGGCCAGCAGGTAAGTAAGCCCAAACCTGATGAGGTTCCCCACGCTAGCCCCCGGGTCACAGAAACTGGAACAATCTTTCAAATAACACATTGGTGGATCCATCAACAGGAATGAACAATCAAAAGTACTCGGAGCCAATTTGCATCATGACATGTACAGGATATTTTATTAGTATCTCTAAATAAAACGACAGCGCCTCATTTCTGCTGCTTTTGTTGGAAGGTGTAGTGTTTTTATATCATGCATATTCAAAGTCCACTCTTGTTTTGTGCCTGTTTTACACTTTGAATGGGTCTGAAATGCAGTCAATGTCCAATAAAGGAGTTGAATTGGGTCCATCATCTGTAAGGAGCAAATTATTAGTAGATGAGTGTTCTGCTGGCTGTGGGTGAGCTCACCTGTTAATCCATCTGAGAGCTGGCGTCCGCAGCGAACCACCAAATCACCAAGTCCAAAGGTCACAGGTCAATCACCTTACAGCGGCCCTGCCTACTTCCTGAGGAGAAACAGAAGGGGGCCAATGAGACAGCAGGTAGAATAAGGACAGTACATATAGACAGTGTCTGGAAACGCTACTAGCGGTCAAATCCTTGCATCCTTAGTCCTTGTTTACTCACCTCTCGCTTAAAAGTGGATTGGAGGAGAGGATCCAATGAGACAACCGGTAGAATTAGACAGGACACAGGCCTAGACAGTGACGTGTGATAAGGCAGGCGCCTTGGGAGGTGAAAGATAAGGACACTAAAATGTAAGGGTACTAAACTTGAGTGTAGGGGAATTCAGAGTTAAACAGTGACCTAGTAAACTTGAGGTCAAGGAACTTTAGTAACCTGGATGTGCAGTACAGCTACTTTAATAGGCTTAAGCACGGGACATTCCCTCAGACCTTAGCCAAGATCACAGGACTGAAGGATCTAACCATTACATAACCAATGTCCACATGAGGCAAGCAGGTGACATTACACAGGGAGACATTCTGTACCAAGTGGAAATAGCTCAATACCAATTAACCTATGTCCAACCAGAGGGAAGGTAAGTCAGAGAGAAAGGAGAGTGAGGGAGGAATGGCGAGAGAGAAACCGTATTCATGAGGCATTGCAATCCTAATCTTCATCAAATTTTCAGGAGGCGACTCTTCAAACATTACCAGGCGTGTAGTGCCGCACCGCCTGTCGTTAGCTGGCTAAATTGGCCATTAGGCCAGGGCGGAACTGATGAAACGACTCCATGGGCTGCATCGCTGTAGTACATTTCTCAGCCTAAGGCAAAAACAGCCTCTAATCACAATGTGACTACAAGGTTTCTCGTGTACAGAATAATTCCCAGCCTCCATACACACACACACACACACACACCTTTCTCCAGACAACAAACCTATCCTCACGGTGCCTCTGCTCCTTCCACCTTCCAGCAAACTAGACACAAACACACACTTAACAAGTCCAACATACCACCAAACCTCTAAACCAGCAGTAACTTCAATCCTCAACCACCTGGTGAAACACTGGAGACTAGACTACATCCATCTGCTGTGTAAAGTGCTGCATCCTCCAGTATCATTGGGTGGAAAGCTGGTTTTAAATGGGGTGTTTATCCACCTGTTGAGTCTACAGATGTTGCTGGGCGGAACTGGGAGCTCTCTGCCATTTGATGAGATTAGAAGGGATGAGAGACGTCAGGCCTGATTAATACATCACACCTTTCTCATTACAGCTACCTTCACCTCTCTCACAATCTCCCCGTCTCTCTCGCTAGGCCTGGGCTCAGCAGCAATTAAGCTAAATGAGGATTGGAGAGAAGATTCCTGTGGAGAATAATCCAATGGATGCTCAACATCAATGTGCAGAAAATGGACTTTTTAGGAATCTTAGTCTTCATCCGAGATCCATGTAGCATAAATGCAAATGTTTCCATAGCAGGGCAGACTATAGTACATACGATAAGGGATTTTAACCTATAGAGGGCACTTTGCATCATATGGGAAAACGCACAAAAAGCCTAAGTGGCAAGGTGGGGGGGGGGGGGGGGGGGGGGGGTAGAGAAGGTGAAAGTGCTGGGCATATTAAAGTGCCCTTCCCTCAGGCCTCCAGTCCAGCGTCATCATGACTAATCTACTGATTAGAGGGGTCATCTCTCCCAGCTCATCAGGCCCACAGGCAAAAACACAAACAAACAAACACATGGAGTGATGTGAGGGAGCAGGTTGGAACAGCCTCTTATTGCTCTTCCTTTACCATTCACCACCCGTTTCCTTCCCCTCTCCCTCATTCACTCACTGAATCTTCTTCAGAATGGGTCTTTATTGTTCCATTGTGTGTCCCCCCCCCCCCATCACCACACACACACGCCGAGGTTACCCTGACTCCAGCACTCAAATCAATAAACACTTGTTTTGTGTGGACATACCGGTATGAGGGTTGAATGGGCATTGAAAGGAGAATGTCAATAAGGTCACAGCGAAACAAACAGTGGAGAGAAAAAAAGGTCAGATATCTCCTGGTTTGTTTGGGTACTGGTTTCTCTCTACAAAAGAACAGCAGGTTTGTACTACATCAAGCCAATGATGCTTTGGGTTGGGGTGCATCAAGCTCATATGTGCCAACTGGGCTAAACAGAGAGAACTATAGGATGCTACTGTTTTGATTTGATTCCAGATCAGAACCCATCCATTGATATAGGCTGTTTATCTCCCAAAAGAGCAGTCTTCCTTCTACAGTAAGTAGGGCTGCCACAAGGGGGGCTGCCACAATTATTGCATAATCGTATAACCAACAATTATGGGCAATAACCGTGAACAATATCAATCATCATAGTCTCAATACATTTATTTTATGAGGGGGGGTATTGAACTTTATTTTCAAGTAGATACAGTTTACCCAATAGTAGTATCTTATTTTTACATGAAGTGGGTAAAGTTGGTAATTTGTTGTATTCATTAGGTATGTCATAGCTATACCATTAGGTACAGTGCCTTGCAAAAGTATTCATCCCCCTTGACGTTTTTCCTATTTTGTTGCATTACAACCTGTAATTTAAAATGATTTTTATTTGGATTTCATGTAATGGACATACACAGAATAGTCCAAAATGGTGAAGTGAAATAAAAAAAATAACTTGTTTCAAAAAATGCTAAAAAATTAATAGCAGAAAAGTGGTGCGTGCATATGTATTCACCACCTTTGCTATGAAGCCCCTAAATAAGATCTGGTGCAATCAATTACCTTCAGAAGTCACATAATTAGTTAAATAAAGTCCACTTGTGCGTTACATGATCTGTCACATGATCTCAGTATATATACACACACACACACACACACACACACACACACACCTACCTGTTCTGAAAGTCCCCAGAGTCTGCAACACCACTAAGCAAGGGGCACCACCAAGCAAGCGGCACCATGAAGATCAAGGAGCTCTCCAAACAGGTCAGGGTTGGGTTATAAAAAAATACCAGAAACTTTGAACATCCCACGAAGCACCATTAAATCCATTATTAAAAAATTGAAAGAATATGGCACCAACAACAAACCTGCCAAGAGAGTGCCGCCCACCAAAACTCACGGACCAGGCAAGGAGGGCATTCATCAGAGGCAACACCCTGATTAACTCTTTAGTATTATCCCAGTTTACCTATTTGCTTATTGTCTTGCCTACGAATAGCGAACAGTTTTTAAAATTATATGAGAAAAAAATATTCAATTTTATTTGGAACGGCAAGCCAGACAAAATTAAACGGGCCTATTTATATAATGAATATGAATTCGGAGGACAGAAATTATTAAATATTAAAGCATTAGACCTATCACTAAAAGCTTCAGTCATACAAAAGTTATACTTAAATCCGAACTGGTTCTCTAGCAAATTAGTAAGATTGTCTCACCCAATGTTCAAGAATGGCCTGTTTCCCTTTATTCAGATTACAACCACTCACTTTCAGTTATTTGAAAAGGAAATAATCTCCCAAATATCACTATTTCTAAAACAAGCCATAGAAAGTTGGTTGCAATTTCAATTGAATCCTCCAGAAACGACAGAACAAATAATGCAACAAATAGTGGTTAAACTCAAATATACTAATTGACAAAAAAACTTTTTTTTTTTGACAATTTAAAAAAAGGTATAATCTTCGTAAATGATATCATCGGTAGGACTGGTGGAGTTATGTCGCACATGCAGCTAACAAAAACATATGGAAATGTCTGCTCTACCCATAATTACAACCAAATAATTGCAGCCTTACCGCAAAAATGGAAGAGGAAAGTGGAAGGGGGATAAAGTAAGGAACTTGTCTGTCGGCCTTGCATTAAAGAACATAATTGGTTAAGGAAAACTGTGATAAATAAAAAAGTATATCAGTTTCATTTAAGGACCAAAGGATTGACAGCCGTCCCATATAGATTGCAAATTTTTTTTTTGGAAACAAGTTATTTTTTTAAATGAAGAACAGCGCCGGGAAGATGGCTGCCGTTTTACAGCCCTCTAACCAATTGTACTATTATGTGTGTTTTTCCGCGTTATTTGTAATTTATTTTGTACATAATGTTTCTGCCATCGTCTCTTATAACCAAAAAGAGCTTCTGGATATCAGGGCAGCGATTACTCACCTCGCATTGGACGAAGATTTTTTCTTCAACGAGGCGGTCGCGAAGGATATCCTACAGACACCCGACAAGGCCCAGATCCCCATCATTCGCGTGAGGAAGAGACGGAGATATCGCGGACGCAGATCCGGGTGCCTTGTAAGGATCCGACGGCGAGCGAGTAAACTGCCTCTCCCATCAATCCTACTAGCCAACGTTCAATCTTTTGAGAATAAAATGGACGAGTTAAGATTACGGTTATCCTACCAACGGGACATTAAAAACTGTAATATCTTATGTTTCACGGAGTCGTGGCTGAACGAAAACAATGATAACATTCAGCTAGCAGGCTATACGCTACATCGGCAGGACAGAACGTCTGACTCTGGTAAGACAAGGGGCGGCGGTCTGTGTATATTTGTAAACAACAGCTGGTGCACAAAATCAAATACTAAGGAAGTCTCGAGGTTTTGCTCGCCTGAGGTAGAGTATCTTATGATAAGCTGTAGACCACACTATTTACCAAGAGAGTTTTCATCTATATTTTTCATAGCTGTCTATTTACCACCACAAACCAATGCTGGCATTAAGATTGCTCTGAATGAGTTGTACAAGGCCATTAATCAACAGGAAAACGCTCATCCAGATGCAGCGCTCCTAGTGGCCGGGGACTTTAATGCAGGGAAATCCGTTCCACCTAATTTCTACCAGCATGTTAAATGTGCAACCAGAGGAGGAAAAAAAACTCTAGACCACCTTTACTCCACACACAGAGACGCATACAAAGCTCTCCCTCGCCCTCCATTTGGCAAATCTGACCATAACTCTATCCTCCTGATTCCTGCTTATAAGCAAAAACTGAAGCAGGAAGCACCAGTGATTCGGTTAATAAAAAAGTGGTCAGATGACGCAGATGCTAAGCTTCAGGACTGTTTTGCTAGCACAGACTGGAACATGTTCCGGGATTCTTCAGACAGCATTGAGGAGTACACCACATCAGTCACTGGCTTCATCAATAAGTGCATCGATGATGTCGTCCCCACAGTGACCGTACGTACATACCCCAACCAGAAGCCATGGATTACAGGAAACATCCGCACTGAGCTAAAGGGTAGAGCTGCCGCTTTCAAGGAACGGGACTCTAACCCGGACGCTTATAAGAAATCCCGCTATGACCTCCGATGAACCATCAAACAGGCAAAGAGTCAATACAGGTCTAAGATTGAATCATACTACACTGGCTCTGACGCTCGTCGGATGTGGCAGGGCTTGAAAACTATTACAGACTACAAAGGGAAGCACAGCCGCGAGCTGCCCAGTGACACAAGCCTACCAGACGAGCTAAACCACTTCTATGCTCGCTTCGAGGCAAGCAACACTGAAGCATGCATGAGAGCACCAGCTGTTCCGGATGACTATGTGATCACGCTCTCCGTAGCCGATGTGAGTAAGACTTTTAAGCAGGTCAACATTCACAAGGCCGCAGGGCCAGACGGATTACCAGGACGTGTACTCCGAGCATGTGCTGACCAACTGGCAAGTGTCTTCACTGACATTTTCAACATGTCCCTGACTGAGTCTGTAATACCAACATGTTTCAAGCAGACCACCATAGTCCCCGTGCCCAAGAACTCTAAGATAACCTGCCTAAATGACTACCGACCCGTAGCACTGACGTCTGTAGCCATGAAGTGCTTTGAAAGACTGGTCATGGCTCACATCAACAGCATAATCCCAGAAACCCTAGACCCACTCCAATTTGCATACCGCCCCAACAGATCCACAGATGATGCAATCTCTATCGCACTCCACACTGCCCTTTCCCACCTGGACAAGAGGAACACCTACGTGAGAATGCTATTCATTGACTACAGCTCAGCATTCAACACCATAGTGCCCTCTAAGCTCATCACTAAGCTAAGGATCCTGGGACTAAACACCTCCCTCTGCAACTGGATCCTGGACTTCCTGACGGGCCGCCCCCAGGTGGTAAGGGTAGGTAACAACACATCTGCCACACTGATCCTCAACACGGGGGCCCCTCAGGGGTGCGTGCTCAGTCCCCTCCTGTACTCTCTGTTCACCCATGACTGCATGGCCAGGCACGACTCCAACACCATCATTAAGTTTGCCGACGACACAACAGTGGTAGGCCTGATCACCGACAACGATGAGACAGCCTATAGGGAGGAGGTCAGAGATCTGGCCGTGTGGTGCCAGGACAACAACCTCTCCCTCAACGTGACCAAGACAAAGGAGATGATTGTGGACTACAGGAAAAAAAAGAGGACTGAACACGCCCCCATTCTCATCGGCGGGGCTGTAGTGGAACAGGTTGAGAGCTTCAAGTTCCTTGGTGTCCACATCACCAACGAACTATCATGGTCCAAACACACCAAGACAGTCGTGAAGAGGGCACGACAAAGCCTATTCCCCCTCAGGAGACTAAAAAGATTTGGCATGGGTCCTCAGATCCTCAAAAAATTCTACAGCTGCACCATCGAGAGCATCCTGACTGGTTGCATCACCGCCTGGTATGGCAACTGCTTGGCCTCTGACCGCAAGGCACTACAGAGGGTAGTGCGTACGGCCCAGTACATCACTGGGGCAAAGCTCCCTGCCATTCAGGACCTCTATACCAGGCGGTGTCAGAGGAAGGCCCTCAAAATTGTCAAAGACTCCAGCCACCCTAGTCATAGACTGTTCTCTCTGCTACCGCACGGCAAGCGGTACCGGAGTGCCAAGTCTAGGTCCAAAAGACTTCTCAACAGCTTCTACCCCCAAGCCATAAGACTCCTGAACAGCTAATCATGGCTACCCGGACTATTTGCACTGCCCCCCCACCCCATCCTTTTTACGCTGCTGCTACTCTGTTAAGTATTTATGCATAGTCACTTTAACTCTACCCACATGTACATATTACCTCAACTAGCCGGTGCCCCCGCACATTGACTCTGCAACGGTACCCCCCTGTATATATAGCCTCCCTACTGTCACTTTATTTTACTGTATATATAGCCTCCCTACTGTCACTTTATTTTACTTCTGCTCTTTTTTTCTCAACACTTTTTTTGTTGTTGTTTTATTCTTACTTTTTTTGTTTAAAATAAATGCACTGTTGGTTAAGGGCTGTAAGTAAGCATTTCACTGTAATGTCTGCACCTGTTGTATTCGGCGCATGTGACCAATAAAATTTGATTTGATTTGAAAATAGTTGGGAAGAGATTTTTGACGTACCGATCCCATGGCATAGTGTTTATAAACTGACACACAAAACGACACCGGATTCAAAACTTAGAATCTTTCAATTTAAATTATTATATACAATTCTTGCTACCAATAGAATGTTATTTATATGGGGGATACAATCTTCCCAGCTCTACAGATTTTGCTGCGAAGAGACAGAATCATTAGATCATTTGTTTTGGTACTGTCCATTTGTAGCTTGTTTTTGGACAGGAATGGCTAAAGGATTGCAATATTTACCTGGAGCTAACCTTGCAGATAGCATTACTGGGTGATCTGAAAAATCATAGTCAATCGATCAATAATATAATAATACTTTTAGCAAAAATGTTTATTTTCAATTCACAATCTGTAGAAACAATGAGAATAGAAAGGTTCAGAACTTCTGTAAGACATCACAGTACAGTTGAAATATATATGGCAAATAGAAATCCTATATGGATGGTGTTAAGAGATAGATGGGAGGTGTTGAATGGAATTGAAGGATGGGACTAATAACAACAAATAATAACAAGATAACTAATAATGTAAGCATACTGTGTCCATAATAAGTATATAGGTTGGGAGCTTTTGTGAAAGAGCACAGTCAGAAAGATATGGCATATAGAAGCAAACCGGATGGACATCATGAAAATGATCGGAGAGGTTGAGAGTAGAAGAAGTTCAGGAGAAAAAACAAACAAAATATAATGATTGTAGAATTGACTGTGTCCATAAAATGTAGATAGTAGGTATGAGCTGGAAGTAGAGGCCTAAGCATTGTTGTTCACTAGTTTACTCCAAGTAGGGAAAGGGTGGCGGGGTTGGAAAGTAATAAAGGGGAATATATATATTTTTAAAGGATAAGTGTATGTATGTGTGTGTGTATATATTTTAAAAAACATGGGGGATTGGAAGTGATGCAGACAATTACATTGATGAAAGTTACAATCTATCTGCAATATTAAGCTGATCTACCCCCCCCCAAAAAAAAGAAAAAAAAAAGAGACCAAAGATAACCCTGAAGGAGCTGCAAAGCTCCACAGCAGAGATTAGAGTATCTGTCCACAGGACCACTTTAAGCCGTACACTCCACAGAGCTGGGCTTCATGGAAGAGTGGCCAGAAAAAAGCCATTGCTTAAAGAAAAAAATAAGCAAACACGTTTGGTGTTTGCTGTTACGTGTGACATGTTCTTCTTTCTCCCAATCATCCTTTGTAGTGTGTGTGTGGTTCAGAGTGGTTGTTCTGGTTATTACAGGTGTGCTGCGTTGTGGCTGACGATGGTGGGCGTGGCTTTGGTCCAGAGTCCTGGCAGCTGTGGTTGAGTGACTGATTGACTAGAGTATATAAACTGTTTGCCGTGTGAGCTCGAGAGAGAGAGAGGGCACTTTTTGTTTGGCTGTTTGTCTGAGGATTTGGTTATTGGTTGTTTTGATTTATCTTTGTTTGTGTTCCAGCCTGTCCTCCTGCTGTATTCCACCATACCTAGGTCCTGGAGAAGGGAAAGGTAGTTCTGCCCATGGGTGTATTCACACGTAGATAATCTACTGTTTTACACACTAGGTTAGCCGGGCGGATGTCACCCCTGTATTTGTGGTAACAGGTAGGAAAGCGGGTTAAGGCTTAGAGTGTGTTGGGAAGGATTAGGTGTGTAGAAGAGGAGGGACCTTTTGTTTATCTTCATTACTTGGACCCCATTCCCAAACATTCCCTTCTCTTACCGTCCCTGGTTTGTTTGATTGGTCTTTGTTTTATTACTGTTTCTTTATGGGTGTTGTATATTATTTTGTTTAGTACCTTACTAAATGTCCCCAGAGGGCTAACATTGAGTTCTGGTTGTTGTGTCTGCTGATATGGTCATTTTAGTTAGTTACACCCCACATTTCTTCCCCATCCATCAGTTTACATTATGTGCGCAGGCACAGGCATTTACGTCTCCTCCTCAGACGAACTACACCCGAGGGGAGAACATAACATTCGCCAAAAGCCATGTGGGACGCTATGTCTGGTGCAAACCCAACACCTCTCAACACCCAGAGAACACCATCCCCACAGTGAAGTATGGTGGTGGCAGCATCATGCTGTGGGGATGTTTTTCCATCGGCAGGGACTGGGAAACTGGTCAGAATTGAAGGAATGATGGATGGCACTAAATACAGGGAAATTCTTGAGGGAAACCTGTTTCAGTCTTCCAGAGATTTGAGACTGGGACAGAGGTTCACCTTCCAGCAGGACAATGACCCTAAGAATACTGCTAAAGCAACACTTGAGTTGTTTAAGGGGAAACATTTACATGTCTTGGAATGGCCTAGTCAGAGCCCAGACCTCAATCCAATTGAGAATCTGTGGTATGACTTAAAGATTGCTGTACACCAGCGGAACCCATCCAACTTGAAGGAGCAGGAGCATTGTCCTGAAGAATGGACAAAAATCCCAGTGGCTAGATGTGCCCAGCTTATAGAGAGATACCCCAAGAGACTTGCAGCTGTAATTGCTGCCAAAGGTGGCTCTTTGTGGGGTGGGGGGGGTGGGTGAATAGTTATGTACACTCAAGTTCTGTTTTTTTGTCTTATTTCTTGTTTGTTTCACAATAAAAAATATTTTGCATCTTCAAAGTGGTACACATGTTGAAAAAAATCAAATGATACAACCCCCCCAAAATAAAATGTTCATTCCAGGTTGTAAGGCAACAAAATAGGAAAAATGCCAAGGGAGGTGAATATTTTCGCAAGCCACTATGTTGTAGCTATACCATTAGGTATGTCGTAGTCATACCATTAGGTATGTCATAGCATTATGATGCATTACAATACAAATAAAAACAATTAAACAAAAATGACAATTATGACAACTGTGGCCATTTTGCATGACAATTAATAGTTACCCAAAACACCATAATCGTCACAGCCCTAACCAACAGCATGTAATGGTAAGGTAATGACAGACCTCACCTTGCAGTTTTATCGCATCTTGAATTAAAGAAAATAAATCATAGCAGCTCTGTGATTGAGGCCGCTTCAATTTAGCTCAAATGCACTTAGGAATACAACTTAGCCGATTGATAGGATGAGGTGGTGGTGGAGGAGGAAAATCCCATTGTACAATCGAGTGCTTTGCAAGGCAGGGGGAGAGAGAAACGCTGGAAGAGTGAGTCATGTTTTTAATGATTTGACATTTGTACGTCAGTGGGAAGACGGGGGCCAGCCATTTATCAGTGTGAGCCACTGGAGATAGAAAAAAAGACTTCTCTTCATCTCCCTCCCTTCAACCCGGTGCTCTTTTCACTCTCTCAAAAAAACACAGTGAGTTTCTCCCCCATAGACTTTACTTGTATACGAGTGCCGGGCTTAATAGCGTCGTCGTCACACACATTAAATTGTGAAATAAAAAGCGGCACGTCATGCCGATGCAGCACGGAAATGAATCACCAGTCGGGAAAGAGCCCTGGGTGAATCTCTTACCCCCCCCCCCCCCCCCCCTCCATGCTCCCTCCTTCCCCTCACCACCCCCTTGAGAGAGATGCAATAAATTAGCTCCCAAAATACCCAGCCGGCCCGCCAGCCATTACAGCGTGAGCCTGCAGACTGAGGGGGGCTCTAAAATAAGAACACAAATCATCCCTGAGACATGAGGTTCTGCTCCAACCACTATTTGTTCACCCTGGCAGACAGCACGTTAATAGGCCTATGACTGATTACAGGAATAATTAAGTAATGAAATATTAAAAGAGATTGTTGTTAACATGAGAAACCACAGACATTTGAACCCCTGAGCCTCTGGGATAGCGGTGTGCTAGGTTTAAAAAAATATCCTCAGAGACAGAACTACAGCAAGGGTGCAAGTACAGCATACCTTTACCTTTTGTCAGGAATTTCTCAACTAATTTGGAGCAGTCAGTTGATTCTACTCCACAAAGCCTTGGAGACTGGTGATGATGCGTTCATCTTGAACAAACAAAGAGAAGGCAAACATAAGACGTTAGACGTGCCACCGTTTCACCGTGGGACATTATCTGCTTCCACAAAGCTACCCAAGTCTACCCAATGTAGGCCAATCACTGATTGAAGAAACTATGCACTTAAGACCTATGCAGTCTAAAGTTCAATCCCATGCCTGGTAGACCCTAACTGGATTTCATAAGACTAAAATCATCTTGTGACTCGAAGGAGACTCGAACCCCGGTCTGTCACATTGACAACCAATTAGTAGCTTGTTAGTATGGATCATAACACACTGACCACCTAATCAAATCCCCTTCTCTGAAGGCAAAACGACATAGGACTCTGTAGTATTTTGTGATCACACTATGCACAGCGTTTTATTTGACATTAGGCTAAATTGGGCACCATGTTAGCAGCTCAAAAGTGCCATGTCACTTAACAGTTAAATTCACTCACGCACGCACACACACTATAGTCATCCTGCCCCCTGTCCCTGGCTTATCCTACGTCACTGTGCTCGTCAAACACCCACCAGGGAGAGATGAAGCCCCCGGGACCGATGACCCTGTTAGGGATGGACAGACCGCTGTCACTCATCTAATCTCAACCCAGTCTGGAAAGGTGGGTGATGTGGACAGGGATGTGATGTGACCTCTACTCATAACAGGGCCCTGCCATGATAGATGTATATGTGTATCAATGACAAACACAATTACATGTGACGCGCGCGCGCACACACACACACACACCAGATAAACGGGCAAACATACACATGCATCAACAGGCAAAACATGCACAAACACCGACCTCATTTCTATATGGTCTGTCACTGCAAGCAGCACAACTCGTAGGCCAGAGCAAGCAAAGTTACTTTAAAATATCTATGTAAATACATGTCAGTTCCCAACTAAACAATAGGGAAAGTTGTACAGAATAAATAATTCCACAGGTAGGACCAACTGCTGAGAACAAAAGCTTGTGCAGCGTGGCAGGAGTCAGGAACCTGTTAGAGGAACGCTAGACCCTGTGTAGAGCACATCACTGAACACTAGGGCTGTCCCCGACTAAAATAAATCTTGGTCGACCGAGAGTCGTCTGGTTCTTTCCAACAATCGATTGGTTGAAATTTAAAAACATGTATTTTTCCATATATAGACACACCCTATATTTGAATTAAATCAACTATATGTAGGCTACTGAGCTTGTCTGATTCTTTAAGCGCTGCGATAAAGAAATTAAGACAAATTACTAAAGAGGGAGCCAGAGATCAATACAGCCTAAGCAGAAGAAGAAAACCTGTTCCCGACCCTCCTACTGCTGCTGGCCTTGGCAGATTCTGCCATTATGCTCCTGAAGTTGCCTGTAATAGGCTACACCTTTTCCTTTTGGAGTGCCAATTTATCCTACCATTTCTAATGATCTGCATGCCAGTTAGGATTTTCATATGCACATTGTCGTGGAACAGTTTTATTTCATTTATTATAAAAGTCTTCATATCTCAAAATTAATGTAATGTGGTTAAACAAAATTCTAAATGAAAATGATACAAATCTAAAAGTAACTTCTATTGCCATTGCCAATATGTAAAAATAGCCTACATAAAGCCAACAAATAAAAACATTGCAGCCCGCAGGTAGAAAATATCCTGATGAAAATAAATATCGTATAAATCACTTTGGCTACGCATGGCCTGTCTGCAAGGAACTTGAAACATCAACTAGGTCCGGCCTATTTTATGACGTTTCCACCAGATCAGAGCATGACATTTTTTTACCCTTTCATGCTGAGTGGTAATCGAATAGGCTACGTTGAGGAACTATTGTCCTTCTCAATGGATGTAAAAAGACTTTGTTAACTTGCTGTTTGAGGCGAAGAAAACATTACTTTGAGAAGCCCCACAGTGATGGTGAGTTAAGACACTCAGAAATAGTATCATATCCCCAAATGGGCACACTTATAGGCCTACATTTGCACGCAAGCCAGGTAGACCAGTCCTACTTCTATATGCATAATCAGGTGCGTGTCCTTACTCAAGATTGACAGGAGCACTCCAAACCAAAGACAATGAATAAATTGACAACTGCTAAATGGAATGAAATAAACCAAAACTTTTTTCCTCACAACTGTAGCCTAGGTTGTGCGCTCCGCAAACATGTCCACTCCTACAACGACATTGGTAAGGCTGTAGTCTTAATAATAATACATTTAATGCAAACAGAAATTACCGTAACCAAACAAACATTGTAGATTAGAAATTAGGGGAATTAATGGTAAAAATGTGCTACTGGTAAACCAACCCCAAGGCCTCCGCAATGGATTAGTCCACTCAGACAGGAGTGAAATCAGACGTGTCTCGTGTGCCATAAAAGAAAAGTGTATATTTGCCACTGCTCAAAAAAATTAATAATCTTGATCCACCAACAGCCTATCGACCAAACAATCAACTAAATGGTCAGACCTACTGGACACAAGACAATTATATTATTCATGCTGGAACTGAGAAACTAACAGCTTACAAACAGAGAGAGAACTGGTAAAACTGGAGCTAGTGTGTGTGTCCACCTAAGTGTGTTGACTCTTAAGACTCAGTCAGGTCCCCCCAAAAACATTTTCCACTACTAGTCTTGGTTGGCCGGTGATTGACTGAACACTGAAGGACTTGTGTATTGTTCAGCACACTCCGGTGCTCGGGCTTTGGGAAGCAGTGTTCAGTCACAGTCGTGTTCCGGTCGACCAGACTCGCTGTGCGGGGACCACAGTCGAGACACACCTGCTGGGAAGGCCTAGACTGAGGCTACTGCTGCATAGAAACCATAGCCTAACAGGAGGAGCAACGAACACAAGGCAGCCATGATGGTGGGGGTAGTCTTTAAGGAGGCATAGACCCTTATAGCACTTCCATTTACATTAACAACTACCTCTAGATGTTGCAATTATTGTGCCGTCCTGCTGGGAGGATGACTGGCCACCCTGCAACATTACATCCAAATACTTTTTATGCCTTTATCAAATAATTATTTTAAGAATATATTTTTAACTTGGCCAGTATTGAATAGAGGAGAATCCTAACCAATTTTGAGCGCTTGAGAGACGTACGGTTTTACAACCGGAGTATGCAGCATTGGTTTCTTGAACTGTGCAAACGTATTAACTGCGTGTCGGCCATTTGCGGTTCTACACGAGTACCGGTGGAAAGTTATTTTAGGACATGGGACACGACAACACCATTAAGACATACAGTGGGGAGAACAAGTATTTGATACACTGCCGGTTTTGCAGGTTTTCCTACTTACAAAGCATGTAGAGGTCTGTAATTTTTATCATAGGTACACTTCAACTGTGAGAGACGGAATCTAAAACAAAAATCCAGAAAATCACATTGTATGATTTTTAAGTAATGAATTTGCATTTTATTGCATGACATAAGTATTTGATCACCTACCAACCAGTAAGAATTCCAGCTCTCACAGACATGTTAGTTTTTCTTTAAGAAGCCCTCCTGTTCTCCACTCATTACCTGTATTAACTGCACCTGTTTGAACTCGTTACCTGTATAAAAGACACCTGTCCACACACTCAATCAAACAGACTCCAACCTCTCCACAATGGCCAAGACCAGAGAACTGTGTAAGGACATCAGGGATAAAATTGTAGACCTGCACAAGGCTGGGATGGGCTACAGGACAATAGGCAAGCAGCTTGGTGAGAAGGCAACAACTGTTGGCGCAATTATTAGAAAATGGAAGAAGTTCAAGATGACGGTCAATCACCCTCGGTCTGGGGCTCCATGCAAGATCTCACCTCGTGGGGCATCAATGATCATGAGGAAGGTGAGGGATCAGCCCAGAACTACACGGCAGGACCTGGTCAATGACCTGAAGAGAGCTGGGACCACAGTCTCAAAGAAAACCATTAGTAACACACTACGCCATCATGAATTAAAATCCTGCAGCGCACGCAAGGTCCCCCTGCTCAAGCCAGCGCATGTCCAGGCCCGTCTGAAGTTTACCAATGACCATCTGGATGATCCAGAGGAGGAATGGGAGAAGGTCATGTGGTCTGATGAGAAAAAAATAGAGCTTTTTGGTCTAAACTCCACTCGCCGTGTTTGGAGGAAGAAGAAGGATGAGTACAACCCCAAGAACACCATCCCAACCGTGAAGCATGGAGGTGGAAACATTCTTTGGGGATGCTTTTCTGCAAAAGGGGACAGGACGACTGCACTGTATTGAGGGGAGGATGGATGGGGCCATGTATCGCGAGATCTTGGCCAACAACCTCCTTCCATCAGTAAGAGCATTGAAGATGGGTCGTGGCTGGGACTTCCAGCATGACAACGACCCGAAACACACAGCTGTGGCTCCGTAAGAAGCATCTCAATGTCCTGGAGTGGCCTAGCCAGTCTCCAGACCTGAACCCAATAGAACATCTTTGGAGGGAGCTGAAAGTCCGTATTGCTCAGCGACAGCCCTGAAACCTGAAGGATCTGGAGAAGGTCTGTATGGAGGAGTGGGCCAAAATCCCTGCTGCAGTGTGTGCAAACCTGGTCAAGACCTACAGGAAACGTATGATCTCTGTAATTGCAAACAAAGGTTTCTGTACCAAATATTAAGTTATGCTTTTCTGATGAATCAAATACTTATGTCATGCAATAAAATGCAAATTAATTACTTAAAAATCATACAATGTGATTTTCTGGATTTTTGTTTTAGATTCCGTCTCTCACAGTTGAAGTGTACCTATGATAAAAATTACAGACCTCTACATGCTTTGTAAGTAGGAAAACCTGCAAAATCGGCAATGTATCAAATACTTGATCTCCCCACTGTAGCTAAATAGTTAACTAGCTAGATAGCCAATTCAAAACATAGTGTAGTTTGGCTGGTTATCTAGTTAGTCTGTTGCACATCATTACTGTACCTTCTGTGCAAATCTCTCCCTCTTCCCCCCCACCGCCCGGCACACACACACACCAGGATTTTTACAGGATTTTCATTGTTGACCAAAAATGAGCTATAACTGGCTCAATAACTCACTAACTAGCAATGAATATCAACAAATGTGCGCACACAGCTAGGGTTTCTTTGATCGCAAAAACACATCTCACGACTGCATGATTGAAAGACAGCTCATGCCAGTCTACAGTGCCTTGCAATAGTATTCATCCCCCATGGCGTTTTTCCTATTTTGTTGCATTACAACCTGTAAATGAAATGGATTTTTATTTGGATTTCATGTAAATGGACATACACAAAATAGTCAAAATTGGTGAAGTGAAATGAAAAAGATAACTAGTTTTTAAAAATTCAAAAAAATAAATAACGGAAAAGTGGTGCGTGCATATGTATTCACCACCTTTGCTATGAAGCCCCTAAATAAGATCTGGTGCAACTAATTACCTTCAGAAGTCACATAATTAGTTCAATAATGTCCACCTGTGTGCAATCTAAGTGTCACATGATCCCTCTCTCTCTATATATATATATATATATATATATACACACCTGTTCTGAAAGGCCCCAGAGTCTGCACAACTAAACAAGGGGCACCACCAAGCAAGCGGCACCATGAAGACCAAGGAGCTCTCCAAAAAGGTC